CAATCCTTTCTTGGAATAAAGGATGGAAAAAGCAGAAAGAACAGCTTGGTTGTAAGGTCTGGGGCAAACTGCACAGCATTAAGAAATACTTTGTTCTAATTGGAGCCTGTTTGACCCTGGAGCCAGAGCAGGGTAATGGAAAAAGCACAGCTCAAATCGAGTCGCTTTTCACAGCGTTCTGCAGAAAGGCAGAGAAGGAAAGGGAGAATTTGAAAGGGGGAGAGCCAGAAAAAATGCATTAAGAGCAAGAAGAAAAGGCAGAATATGCCGTGGGAAATAGCCAAAGGAAAGGAGACAGAGAAGACAAAGGAGAGCAAAAAATTAGGGAGAAAGGAAGAGAAGGAAAAAGAAGGAAGCAAGGTGAAATTGTAAAGGGAAGGAGGAGCGTCCTTCTGCCCTGCCGGGCAGAGCGATGAGGTGGCAGGACAGCGAGTGGCCCCAGGCAGCAGCGCTTATTATTTCCATCCTGGCTGATGTCATTGATTGCCTCCCTCCTCCCCTGTCATGCCTGGTGACAGAATCGCAGCCCTTGCGACTCAGAACAACCTGCTCTGTTCCCGACTGGCCCAGGGAAAAGTTTTATTTCCAGCTCCAAACAGGCACAGCTTTTCCTGTGTTTCAGGGGTTTTTTTGGGTGGCCCCTGTCAGCAGTTCCTCTCTGGGACCACCTCCAGTCCAGGCAGGTATAGATCCTATTCCTGACCTGCAATTAACCATTTTTTTCTTCTGCAAACAACCTGTTTTTTCCTCAGCTGTGGTGCTGTGAAAATCCCATAGGACTGTTCCTTCTCTTACCTTGACATTTTTCTGTGGGTAGCATCTTTATTTTTTTAAACCAACCTTGATTTCCCCAATTTTTCTTCTTTAAGGAAATTTCCCTTACAAGGCTCAAATCCTGAAGCATCTGACCACCTTCTGTCAGGGAGTTTAATTAGTCAGAAAAAATAAAACAAATGATTATTTGTTTGCTGAACAGAAGATGTGGTGGATAGAGAAAGAAAGTGGGGAGGACAAAGAAACCTTAATAATGAAGGAAGAAAACAGAATCCTAAGATATTGTGGCCTAAGTCTTTAGGACTTGCTTAATATAACAGTAAATGTCCTCAAGTTGTACCAGGGGAGGTTTAGATTGGATGTTAGGAAAAATTTCTTCATGGAAAAGGTGGTACAGAATTAAAACAAGGAAATAGCAGAGTCACTATCCCTGGAAGTGATCAAAAAACGTGGATGTGGCACTTGAGGGAGGACATGGTTTAGTGGTGAATGTGATGGTGGTGTTGGGTTGATGGTTGGACTTGCTGATCTTAAAGGTCTTTTCCAACCATTATGATTTGAATATTCTCAAAGGACCAAGCTCCTCTTCTTCCTGCAGCCAGCGATTTTTGTGGTTATCCCCCTTCCTGATGCCAACAAAAATCCCATCAGGGCCGGACCAATCCTTCCTTTCCTGTAGGGTGGAGGGATGAGCTTCATGGCATCTCTTCAGCAGAAGCCTTTCTTCTAGACATGGGGTTTGTGAAATTTTGCAAGAGGAAGAAGGAGGTGCAGATCCAAGTCTTTCCTGTAGGATGGACTGCAGATAGACATCAGTTATGACCCTAAAGCCTGGCTTAAGCTTGTCCAGTCATCATTTGTGTAATGCCTTGTCTAGGAGCAAACATCTGAGCTCGGAATGATCCGGTACATGTGGAAGATCCTTAATTAGCTTCAGGATCTAGGAGAGGGTTATGGATGATGTGGAACAGTGGATGGGGAAGGCAGTGAGAGAATCTGAGGTCTTTTGAGGTGGAGGGATCTCAGTGAGGATGTGGAAGGGAGGGCAGCTGGGGTTGCAATGTTGGGATTTAAGGATGCAAGCCTGCTCATCTCTTAAAAACCAAACTCCATTCCCTTGATGGTTCAGGAATGAGTTACATGTCGGGCTTTCTTCGCTTTAATGCAGCTCCTCCCCCACTTTTATCCAGTTACCCATGAAAAGTCAGTGAAACGAGACCTACTTAAATCAAATGTCACAATCGATGCTCATCCCAGGCCACCATTTGTGCGATGTGAACTCAAATTGCTGTAAGGGGGGAGCAGGGAAGGGGAAAGGCTGGGGAAAGAGCTTGGAGAGAGTGAGCAAGGAGCCATCCATGGGTGAGTGTCTTGTGTTCCACAGTACTTTTGTCACAACCATGCACTCTGCACTGGGACAGGGCTGTTGTTCACCAGGATTCTGCAGGGAGGACAAAGAAAGTTGTGGCTTCCTGCAGGACGTTGCATCCACCTCTGCCACACCCTACCTGACTAAATCAGAGTCCTTTCCACATTTCAATTTATAAGGAGCAAAATACGTGATGTCAGCACTCACCCTGCCTGGATGATATCCAAATTCAATTTTGTTTGATGGAAGACAAAACCAAAGCGTTGATATTTTCATTGAAATTTGTATTTACCTCGTTCCCAAATAATGCTTCTACCCTAGCATGAATATTTGGCAGGAGTAAATTCTCAGGGTGGGAGCACAGTCATAGGAGTTGATGTAAAAATCACAGTGACCTAAGTGTTTGTAAAAGTTTAGGGAAAGAATCCACAGGAGAGCTGAAACATCTCTTTCATGAGCATTTTGGGAATCTAAAGGCAGAGGGAGATGCAGGAGGGGTTGGTGAGGATCAGGTTTGTTGTCTGTAGCTGGTCTGCACCCAGTGAAGATCCCTCAGACCACCTGTACTCCTTTTGGTGCCAGCTGGGTGCTCAAGCCATTGACTGTGTGTGACATCCCACCCCTAAGGGGAAGGAAGCACACAAAATTTTTGGCCAAAATGAATAGCAGAAGTCATAGGGGCTCCAAGTTTTGTAAGTGAATTACAGATGGAAATTGTTATTAGTCCCTGATCTAGTGCCAGCACACGGCAATGGGTTTTGGATAAGGGGGTAGAGTGGAAGGGAAAAAGGAGGTGGATTAAAGAGGGAGGGAGAGAAGCAAAGGAGAAACAAGGAAAAGGAAAAAGAGAAATCACCAGTGCTGGCTCCAGTGTTGATCCAGCTGATGAGGTGTCCAGGGTCCTGGGGTGCCCATGAGCCCAGGGAGTGCCTTTTTATAGATCAGTTTTCTCTGCTTTGGAGATAAGTCTCTCTCTTTCCATGCAAATCATTTGTCATGCACAGCCTGTTCTTCTAGGCCTTTCTGGAAGTGGGTTGAAGCTTTCAGGGATCTGGGGTGGTCTTGATCCACCCTATAGTTCCTGCTCAGTTCTCAACCTTATTCCTGTGCCTGCACTGAGTTGTAATGATCTCCAGGCGCCAGAAAAAGGATTTTTTTCCCAGAAAAGTGCTGCCCTACCTGTGCATGGCCCCTTCTTCAACCACACCTTGTTCTTCAGTGTGTTATTACTAACAATACTTGACTGGCTTCATTACCACCCATATTTGAGACATTCACATTAATCCCCTTATTTTCTAGACTTCTACAGGGTGTCACTAAATTTTGGAAGTTCTTGTTCCATCCTTCCCAACAACTGCTGAGGGGTTCCTTGCAGTGCAGCGGTGAAAGTTTTGTTCCTCATTAATTCCCCTCAGCTGTGAGAGGTGTCCTTGCTCAAAATAAACAAATAGGATTTTCCCAAGCCCTCAAAAATTCAGGGACAATTCAGCTCTGACCTCTGTGTGTTTGGGTTGTTCATCTCTTTTTGTGGAGTAACCCTGTTGTGACTGTGGGCCTTGAGTGAGTGGACACAGGTTTGGTTTGGCCATGTGCTGAGCTGGCCAGGCTCCATTTAAACCCAGCGCTGAGCCCTGCCTGATTTATTTCGCTTCACAGAAGGCTCACTAGCCTGGAACAGAGCTGCTGTAGCCTCAGCTCCATGGCATCCCTCTGACTGGAGGTTCAGGCTCAGCAGCCTCATGCCTGCCAAAAAAAAGGTGTAGTCAAGTCCTTAGCGGACTGCCTGTTTCACTCCCAAATTCATGCATAGTTTTACTTTTCTTTTTTTATTTTATCTCCTGTGCTAAGCCCTTGCTGTGTCAGAAGCCGTCTCATCTCCATGAGTGAAGTGCGAGGTGCTGGTGCTGTGCCAGTCTAATGACAACCTTGACTGGGCTCCCTGTCCTCTGCAAACGGTGTGACCCCAAACAGAGAGTTCTTGGGCGTCTGTTCTGCGTGGGGCTCTGCCTCTCGCTGCCTTCCTGCCAGCAGAGATCACTGATGTGGAAATAAAAAACGTGCCAGGGGGGGAAAAAAATGCCTGCAGCAGGGAAAGCCAAGTGGGATTGAGCTCCTCGCTCTGAGCTGGGGACAGGGCGAGTTCAGTGATATCAGTGTGGCAGATGTTGGGTAGTTACAGTCACAGGATGCAGAGAGCTCCATTAGAGAGGTTACAGCCTGTGTTTGCTCTTGATGTTGCAAGAGCTGATGTTCTTTTGTATTCAGTCAGAAAAAAGAACCATTCCACACCAGGTTTTCCGGCCTGTGTGATTCCTTTCTATGAAAAAATGCCTTGTGCAGTGGTGTAAGAGCTGTGAATTGATGGATGGTGGATCCCTGGGGAGGGTACACATCTTGTTTTTTCTTCCCTTGCTTCATTTCATCCTTTTCCAGATGAATGTTTGTGGTTGGTGGAAAATTTTCACCTTCTTTTCATCCTCCACCCTTCATCACCGCCGTCCCAGAAGAGCTCGTTTGTAATTGTTCTGTTATTGCTTCATTAATTATCTTCCCACTTTCACACTGGATATGAAGAGCCTGATCCTCCTCTCATAACACCTTTCACATGCCTGCCTTCCATGGATATCAGAATTGTTACCCAGGCTTGGCACTGGCTTGTGGGAGCAGAATCAGTCAAAAAATAAAAGACTGGCTCAGGCAGAAACAGATCCTGTTCTCCTTCCCTGTTTGTTTGTATGCACAGTGTGATGTGAAGGTCAGCTGAGTGGGCACACCAACAAGGAAAATTCTTGCCATGACATTTTCATGGTAGAATTGGCTGAACTTATTTTTTAATGTCTCACTTTCTCTCTTTCAGAACATGGAAAAGGTGCTGGTCCCTTCTGTCACGTTAATTGTAGGCTGTGGAGTATCCTCGCTGACACTTTTGCTGTTGATTATCATTTATGTCTCTGTTTGGAGGTATGGCTTTCATTCTCTTCTCTTCTTTTTGGGGAAAGTAACTGTCTTTTGACCTACACAGATCCTGGAATGTTTGCTCTGTGGTTTTGGGTGTCTGGTGCTTGAGGAAGAACAGTTTGGGAACGAGTGGGCCCTGCAGAAAGTCATCCTGGTGGCTTAGCTGGCATCATTCTCCCCTTTCAGTGCCAGAGAAATTAGCAGAGTGAAATTAGTGCCATGCCCTCATGTAGGGACATTGTTCCATTTCCAAAAGCCTCGTGCTGGTCTCGATGCCTTTGTGTACCCCAGGAAACCTTGTCAGAGGCGAGGTGGACACGCACGGCCTCTTGGCAGGCAGATGCTGCTGCAAGGTAATTCTTTGGGAACATCCAAACCTCCGTGACCCGCCATGAAAACATCTGGCCTGAGGAACTGACAGAACTTCTCAGGAGCTTAAGGATGTTAAATCATCTAAATAACTCCCCAACTTTTTAGCTACGTTTTGCCTTCAGCTTCAGATGCATATGGGATCCCTCAGTACATCCTGTTGCTGACAGCTCCTGTACACAGGTCAGGTGGAACCTAAAATTGTGTCATTTATGGAGGCTGAAGGGATTTTGAAGCAAAGCTTTAATGAACAATTGGCCCATGCCCCTGTTGGATACATTCTGGTGACTCTAAGCTGGAGGACCTGAGGTGTGCAAGGGATTTTCTCCCTGTATTGCCTTGAACAAGATCTGAGTTTATCCTGTGAGATCCATGTCTCTCCTAAATCCATGGCAAACACGCTGAGACCTTCATGGCTCGAGGCCAAGCAAAGACAAATCAGAACCAGGTGAATGTCTGTGAAATCCAAATGGAGTGGCTGCAGGCAGTACAGTTGGGTATTATAGGTGATCCTTTTGGGAGAAGGGATCAGTGTGAGGCTCTTATTTTGTGCAGTGCTTCTTCTCAACAGGAAGGAAAGGGTAAATTCCATTTAGAGACTGAATTGAGATAACTTTTCCTGCGCTTTGATAGAGGAAAGAAACAAGAGCGTAAAAACTGAGCAAAAATGCATCTTTTTTTTTTTTGTTGATACTGTGACAGTGCATAGTGGCTGGTTAATTTTGGCAGCTGAAGACTGATCATGATAACGTTTATCTAGAACTCAGGTTTTTCCGTGCCTGGGGTATCATTGGATGTGCTCAAGTCCTTGTCCTCTCCTGCTTTTCCTCAGGCTGGGCGGCACTGAGCAGCGCCGGTAGGTGACTTACTGGGGTCACTGGTGTCAGGATCAAGTGGAAAGTTAGGATAGAAGATTAAAGAGCAAGTGTTCTAGCCTCACCCTCTCTTTCCTATCAGAAACAGGGTCAGGATCTGAAGCTCAAGCTCAGACATGAGGCTGAATCAGTTTGGAGCATGCCAGAGCCATTTGGAATAACATGATGTATTTTTTTCCAGGACTGTGCTCTCCTCTACCCCTCCAATATTTACTGTTATTGAGGACAGTAAATTGCCTGACCTGTTTCAAATGTGTTCTGTTTAATTTCACATTCCACTCTTTGCCTTATGCCTATGGCCAAAACGATCAGCAGGAATGGGAGGACACGTTTAAGAGAGGCTTGAATGGGTATTTCTGAGCTAGCCAAGGATGGACATGCATTTCCAAGTGATCCTGAGACCAGCTATATCTTGATTGAAGGGCTCTCTAGCCTGAGTCTCTCTGTGTAAATATTTGTAAAGCATGATCGATCGGGTGATCTCTAGAATTTCTCTTTGGTGCGCTGAGTTTGTTCCATTTCTTCTCTGTAGATCATGTTTTCATGTTTTCCAAACTTCACAGCATTCCCGTGGCTGAGCCCTGAGCGCTCTGTGTGTCCTTTTTATTTTAGGCATAGCTGCTGGACGTGAATGTGCTTTCCTATTAATGGTCTCAGGACCTTTGTATTCAACATTATCTCCTGGCTCCCACTTTGTTTTGCCCTAAATGTTGTATATTCTGGTAGACAGCAGCTGGAGGAGTGCTTAGAAATGGAATCAGCAGTATTATTGTCTCTAAAACACAGGGGCAGCATCAAAGTGGTTCTTTTCCACCATGCTGGAGAGAAACCCCTCATGTCCTGGCTGCCTGATCTTGTGTGGAGAGCACTCACCAGAGCTCAGCTGTTTCGTGGAGCTTTGGCCGGAAAATTTCCCATTCAGAACTCTGGACAAAGGCATCTGGAGCATGCATCCATAGACCCAGCTTGAGTATGAAACACTTCTGATGAATAAGCTCGATGAGGCTGACAATCTGGAAGCTTTCCCAGAATTTTGCCCAGCTAGGGTTTGTTTGTGTATATGGGAACCAGAAAAGAAGGGAGGGCGAGAAAGAGGGAGAGGAACACGGTGAAGAAAAGAGGGGCAAGAGTAACAGGGAGGTGATCCCAGCTTCGGGCTACATATCAGGGAGGAAATGAATTCCCTCTGCCCTCCCCATTCAAAACCCCCAAATAAAGGCTGCTCCTTGGTGGCACCTACTCAGCCACTGGCATGAATGGCACGAGCTTTTTGAGGCGAGTGATCACTTCAGACACGGCCAACTTGGCACGGCCCCGTTGGAAACTGGAAGTTGTTTCTGTTCGACGGCTGTTGGTGGCCTGTTGGTGGCCTCCCTCTAGTTCCCAGTAGACAGATGGCTGCAAAAATCTCTGCTGCAGATGGTGCATCTCTGGTCTTATTAGCAGTCTCAACAGAGGGGTCAGTGACACAGTGGGCCACAGAAGTGGAGTGACCTTGTTCTGTCTCTGCACTGCCTGTCCTGGGTCACAGCTGGAGGCACAATCTGTGTGTGGGCCACGTGCTCCACCACCCATGTGGGAAAAGAGGGGGAATTGAGAGAAAAAATTGAAAACTGGCATAGAAGTGAAAAACTGGGGGGAAAACCCAACCACTCAGGGGTCAGAACAGGTGAAATGACACCTCTTTTCAAGCAGCTCCTTGACACACTGGCATTTCAGGAGTGCCCCGATGTGTTTTCCATCCCTGAACTCGTTGCAGCTCTACAGCCTCTGGAATCAGTGACCTTTCCATAGCACAGGATCGATCCCTGCTATCGAGCAGCTCATCCACCAGCCCATCAGCCTGTGGGGCAGGGCAGAGCTCTGTCCCTGGCAGCAGCTGGGTGAGTGCTGCTTCATTTCAAGAGAGCAGCCCCAGCTTTTTTCACTCCTGAGTACTGATTGAGAGGCTGTCAATGAGCTCTCGAGGGGCTGTTAAGGCTTGCTTTAAACCCAGGAGCTCTGCCTGGGTGCTGGGGATGCTGAGGCACTCCTGGCCCTGGTGGGAGGTGGCAGGGATGAGTAAGTGGCTGTGTGGAGAGGGATGTGTGTACACACGGTGAGAAAGCTGCAGTGACTCAGAGTTTGTGGAGAGGAGTCTAATGGGGGCAGAGAAGCAGACTGTGGGCTTTTCCCACCTATTCCATCTGTCTCAGCTGGTGCAGGGCTTCACACAGAATGTAGGGATCCTCGCTGGTGACCAGTGACAGGACCTGAGGGAATGGCCGGAGTTGTGTCAGGAGGGTTGGGCTGGGTATCAGGAAAAATTTTTTAATTCACAAAGTGGATTAGCACTGGAACAGGCTCTCCTGGGAATGGTCACAGCATCAAAAATGCCAGAGCTCAAGGAGTGCTTGGACACACTCTCAGGCACAGGATGGGATTGTTGGGGTGTCCTGTGCAGGGCCAGGAGCTGGGCTTGCTGATCCTTGTGGGTCTCTTCCAACTCAGGATATCCTGTGATTGGAGGACATAGGCTGGAGCAGAAGTTGCCTAAATTAGCAGTGAGTTTCCCCCAGTTTTGTGGCTGAGTACAGCATATTTTGATAAGTAGACAGAATCCATGTATCAGTTGAGGGGTAGCAAGGCAGCACCCTGGAGTAGCTCTGTCTTTTCTGCAGATGTGTTTTTGGGCAAAACCCATCAAGTTCGATGTTTTTTCCCCCCGTGATACAAATTCCTGACTTCTTTGGCCAGAGGGTCTGGAGAAGAATGGTGATTTCTTTCTGTGGAGCATCCTGTGCTGGAGAAGAGGAAATGGAAGGAAAAAAAGCAAGCGTGGCAGGAGGTCTTCTTAGCATTCTGACTGAACAGAAACTTAACAAGGAAATGTTTGGAATCCAGGTCAGGCTACCAGGGAGGACTCTGGAAGAATTGCCCAGGAATGCACTATTGAATTAGAATGGTCAGAGCTCAGCTGCGTTTGAAAGTGGTCAGGGATGTGAAAGGCATCAGGAATGGGTTCTGGAGGTACGTCAGCACCAAAGGATTTCCCAGGAAATGGTGTTGAGTGGGGCAAGCACCCTGGTGGATAAGGAAGTTGAAAAGGTGATGGTACCTTTTTGCCACGTTCTGCTGGCAAGGCTGGCTCCCAGGCACCCAAATTCCTCCATAGAGGCAGAATTCAGGGAAGAAAATGCTCCCCACTGCCAAGGAAAAGAGAGACAAGGACTGTTTAATGTATCTGGGTGTTTTTAGATCCGTGGGATGCATTGAGGGAGTGGAGCCACTCTCTGTCACCTGGGGAGCTTCCTGAAGGCTGGAAGAAGGCAAATGTTACACCCACCTTTAAAAAGGGCAAGGAGGAGGATCCAGAGAACAACTGACCGGTCAGCCTACACAGCCCCTGGGATGATGAAAGGACAAGTAGCTCTAAAGGTTATTTCCAGGCAAAATGATGGACAGGGAAGCAATTGGGAATAGACAGTGAGGATTTGTGGAGGACAGGTTGTGCCTGGCTGCCCTGTTTTCCTTTCGGGATGGGATGACTGCTTTTATGGACAGTGGAGAGAAGCAGCTGGTGTGGATTTTGACATTACCAAGGCCATTAACGCAGTCTCCAAATGCATTTTTGTATCCAGACCATGGAATTATGCACTGGATTGGTGGCTTTATATCTGGATGAAATTCCTGCAGGATTTGAGTGTGGTGGTCAAAGGTTTGAGGCCTAATCAAGAGCTGATCAGGGTTGGTAGGGTGGCCAACATTGTTTAATGTCTTCTTTAACAAACCTGGACACTCCTGAGTCCACACCTGGAAAAGGTGCCCAGTGTTGGATGCCTCCAATACCAGAGATACCAGCACATCCCAGCAAGTCCAGTCTATGCTGAGGGAGCTGGACAATGTCAAAGGAGGCAAAAGGAACAAATTTGGAGAAGAGGAGGCTGTTAAAGAGCAGTCATGGAGAAGCCAAACAACTTGCAGAGGTAGGCAGGGAAAGGTCTAAAGGCACCAGCTGCAGCAGGAAAAGACCCAGCTGGATATAAAGCAAAATAATCCTTCACCAGGAAAGCAGTTAAGTTAAGCAGTTTAGTGCTGTCATAAGTCAGCCAAGAGAGGTGGTAGCATTTCTGTTCCTGGTGATTTTCAAATCTCAATCAGATGAGACCCTGAGAAACCTGATCTGACTTTGAAATCAGTCCTTTTTTTAGGCATAGGATTGGACTGGGAACTTGAGAGGTTGTTTTTTTTCCCCAACGTAAATTATTCTGATTCTTTTCATTGCCAACCCACATCTTGTTCTTTGGAGGTTCAGGGATCTGGAGAACAAGATAAATTCTCAGGGAGTGAAGGGAAGCAGGGGAAAAAAGAGAGTTGGTTTAAGGGGGCTTAAGGGGCAAAAAGTCTTAAGACAGCTGGATTATCTCCCCTTATGTTAAAACGCAGATTTATGGTCAACTCATTTCTTACCTTTTTCTGACCAGGGTAGACTTTACAAGTTCATGCTAATAGCAGTGGGATTGTAATGTTGCTACACAGATGTATTACATCTCCTTCCCACCAGGACAGAGTCCAAATCTCTGTTTCTGCCCTGTAGAAGCTCCTGACTGGAGATTTGAGGTTTTACTTCACACAGTCAAAGCATGAAGAGATTGAGGTCTCAGTACCCTCCAGTCACAAATGGAGCAGGGTCCAGGTGATGCCCAGCACTGTATGGAGCCCATTGAAATCAGGAAATTTGGGCTCAGCTTGGCTGTGAAAGGAACCAGAAGCTCATTTTGCAGCCTGTCAACCCAGCTTCTTGCTGATGAGGGATCCTACATTTTGCAGCCTGTTCTGGAGCTGGGAGTGTTTCGGGGAGAACTTCCTATAAACCAGATTTCCAACCGATTAAGTAGCAGTTCATGCTACCTTTGCTATTTTTTTTTTTTTTTTTTATCCAGAAAAGCATATCTTCACCATACATGTTTGTCTGAAGGTACAGCTCAAGGGGACGTTGAAAAATCAGTTTTACAGCCTTCATTAGGTCTAAAGCACAGATTTACCCTTGGCAGAACACACACGTGCAGTAAACCCATCCTGCCCTCCTCATCAGAAACTCAAAACTCTGCAGCCAAGGCACGACCAACTCACTCTCGCTAAAATTAATTAATGAAATTAAATTCCCAACATAAATAGTTGTTGTGCTGGAATATAGGAAATAATCCTGCATTAGCCTCCAGGGATGAGCTGGTTGATTAATACATCTGTTTCTAATTTATATAAGCATCAGCATCTCCTCTTCACTCATCTGGCATTCAGGCAGGGCACTTGCAGCATCTTTGAGATAATTCACATGTGTGAATGTTGGTGTGGTCAGATCTTGAGCCAGTCCTTGAGGACTTGCACCTTTGCAGTTCCCTCTTCGTTTTATCGTGTACATAAAAGTGCCTTCAAAGAAATTTCCCTCCCTGGCCAGTGGTTTGAATTAATTGTGGTGCACTTACCTCGGCAGCGAGCCTGGTGCTGTGCTGCAAATCAGAAATGACAAATAGCTGGCTCCTGGAAGGTGCTGAAGGCAACAGCTCCCTAACTGCTGTCCCTGATGTCCCAAACCCACAGCTGCAGTTACGTATTTGGCCTAGTTTGGAGAAGTGATACCAAAAAAAAAAAAAAAAAAAGAAAAAAAAAAAAAAAAAAAAAAAATATAAAAGCCAGAAATGCTTCTCAATGCTTCTCACCCCAGGAGCGGTTGTTAGGCTGAAGGAAGTGGAATGCTGAATCACACACACTTTGTTGTCAAGGTGCATGTGTTTGTAATCTGCTTCCATCGCCAGCATGCCTTTGGTTGGGAATCTTATCTGTGTGTTGCCTGTTTGTTTTCTTTCAAGCTCCTTTTCAAGCCCCCATTTCAAGTAGGCAGAGCTGAAGAAGATTTGCAGCACTCTACTGTTTTAGGAGGGGCTCAGACTAGGCTGGCCCCTCGTTTGTTGGCTCCTAACTCCAGCATTGATGGGGATGATGGAGACATCTTCTCCCCCTCCCTTCCCCCCTTGTTCTTGTCTGCCTAGCACATAAAATCTTCAGGAAATTGGCAATTGTGTAGAGCCTGGCCTGGATTGCTGCTTTCCAGAGGTCACCCAGGGCAGGCTGTGACAGGGTGGGTCTCCCTCCCCTCTTCTGTCACTGCAGGTACATCCGCTCGGAGCGCTCCGTCATCCTCATCAACTTCTGCCTCTCCATCATCTCCTCCAACGCCCTCATCCTCATCGGACAGACCCAGACCCGGAATAAGGTAAGGGATCCACTGGGGCTTTGTTTATTTGTTTGCTTTCCCCCTGATTTAGCACTGAAATGATCCATTCAGGCAGCGCTTCCTCATTTTTCCTCCATCTGTTAATTAGCGACATGTCAAAGACACGGCTAAATGGCAGATTTCAATTTTCTCTCTCGCTCTCTCTTTGATAATTTGTCAGCATCCTCAGGGCTTTGATTAAAACCAATGTGATATTTTTGAATATCTGCCTAGAGTAGCTGGCACATGGTATGGTGAAGAAGCGTGGTGATTTGCAAGGCTTTAACCACTTTATTTTCAAAAAAATTACAAAGACAGATTGAGAAAAGGCTTTAAAAAAAACCCCAAACAAACAACCTCTCAGCTTTACATTTATTTCTCCGGCAGTTTTTATACTCTGAGCTGAAAGTACTTGGCAGATGTTAATGAACACAGGCACAAAACTGTCCAACCTTTTTTGGGGATGGGAAGCATTGCCAGATGCACCGTGAGCACTGCAGGGCCTCGAGGGACTCGGAGCAGATCCCAGAGTGACTCCAGCAGTCCAGGCAAAACCCAGCTTGGTTTTCCAAGCCATGAACACTAGTTGCTCTCTTCCCACAGATCCAGCTGGAGAGGCGTGTGTTGCCTCCATGATTTTTTTCCAGCTCAAGCGCTTTCAGGTTCCCTGTTGATGTCTGGCATGACAAATCACTGTTCACCATTAGTATTTTTCTCTTGCAAATTTTCCCCTCTTCCAAAATGCTCTGACCATCATAACTCTGTTGAGCCAAAAAACGTGAATCAAGACACCTCCTCCACTCTTTCTGCTGCCAAAATCACAATCCGAAATCAAAAATTTGTATTGCTTAATAGGAACTAGTGACCAGCTGGGTCTTTTGAGCTCCTGCTTTGGCAGCATGAGTGTGGTGTCACTGTTAGAAGCATATCAGGAATAAAATCTTCCCTGTGAGGGTGGTGAGGCACTGAACAGGTTGCCCAGAGAAATTGTGAGTGCTTCCAACACTGGAAGTTTCAAGGCAAGGTTGGACAGAGCTTTGAGCAAAGAGAAAATCTTTCTGCCCATGGCAGGGGGTTGGAATGAGATGGTTTTTAAGGTACCTCCCAAAACTCAACCCATCCTATGATTTTATGATTCCTGCAGAGAAGCTGAAGGATTTAGTGAATCAGGGATTCATTTCTATGGAAGGCTTTTTGGGTTAGGGTTAGGTTGTTTTAGGAAAAGCTTTCCAGCTGTTGGAGCCCTGTGTGTGCAGAGAAGTGTGGAAACAAGCAGCCAGTTTCTTTCCTGCTGCAAAGAAACTCCCTTCCCAAAGCAGAGTTATTTTCCATTGCCAACATGGTTGGCAAGAGGTGGAGAGAGGGAAACCCAAGCTCCTGCTTTCCTTGTTTGTGTTTTCTGCCACACCAAACATGTGCTGGGAGCTTCTTTCCACGGGATGAAGCACTGAGGGATGCTCAACGGGACAAACCATGGCTGTACCTCCTCTTTGGTGGTTCTTCTTCACCTCAGGGCAGGAGCTGGATGTCTTCCTCCTCTCCCACCTCCTGCAGAGCACAGTTATGAACCCAGGTTTGCCCTGGTGGATTTTTTGTCCCGTGACTCTGGGAGTTCACTGTCGGAGCTGTTGGTGGGGATTCAAAGCTCCCAGCAGTGATGGCAGGAGGCAGATTAGCTCTTTGCACATCCATATGCATGAAACCCCAGAAATAGAAAGGTTATTCTTGGATTTTCCTCTCAGCCATCTAGTAAACAGTCTCTGGCAGGCAACAGAGAGAGAAAACTATGCAGAGGAGAGACGAAGGAGCGTAAATTAAGATTTTATTCACATTCAATTATCAATAATAGAGTGCCTTAAAATGTCGGTGATTTATAATTGCGGCTTCTCCGGGAGATTTCTGCGGTATCGGCTTCCCTGGAAATGTCAAATTCTCTCTGGATTTCCATCCATGTAACCTCAAAGGCGAAATTCCACGCCTGGATTTGCTAAGCTTTTTGAAGATGAAAGGCCTGGGAAAAGGCTAAAAAAAAAAAATTACAGTCAGCAATCTGGGGATACAAAGGGAAGGGATGCTGCAGGAAGTGGCCTCGTATCTCCGAGGCTTGTGCTGGAAGGGAGCAGATTTCTCCTCTTAAAGGAAAACAAGGGCTAATGGCCTTGACAGACTGACAGGCTCTGCTGGATCCTGGGACATCATATCCCTGTGCTTAGCCCTTCATGGGGATGTTTGGTTTTCCCCACAAGGAAGGGAAAACCTGCAGCAGAGGTTGCAGAAGCAAATATTTGCCTGTCTATCAGTTGGCCAAGTTCATTTGAGGCGATGAGTTCATCCTGGTCCAGCTGAGATGTGCATATTTCTCTTGTCTTCCCCTCCTCTCTTCCCTTTCTGTCAAAGCTACTCATTTGAGAAGAAAAAAACCAAAAAAACCCTAACGTATCTCTGTGGTATAAAATTGTAAAGCAAAGCTTTTCTCTCCGCTTTACAAGGAGGAACTGTGTTGGTTTGAAACAAAATCAAAAAGACAATGTGAACAGTGTTGTACCTGATATCAGTCAAAAAAGAAAAGGGTTCTAAAATAGCAATCTCTTAAAATCCATTCCAGAAAGCATCCTCTGTTTGTAGCTGTTTCATATAGGGTTTGTAAGCTGATGAATAGGAACCACCTTTTTTTAGGATTCTTGTAAAATATCAAAATTACTGGACAATATCATATTGAGCTGTGTTATTTGTACTGAACTGACATCCCGAATACACCTTTAAGCAGAATATGGAGGGATTTGGTGTCAAATGCAAATCTGGAACAAAAAAAGACAATTCCTATCTCAGAGAACACACAGTCTTTCTTTTATTCACAGCCTCTGATAACGTCGGGTGGTGCCAGTGGATGAATCAAGAGCAATCCGATAAAATCGTGATAAAAGCCACTCTGTGCATGAGAGCTGTAGCTTGAAAGATGCTGGTGGTTGAAAAAAGAGCAAAAAGAGAAAGGTTCATTGACCGTAAAGCCTAGTCCACGTTTCCCCATATAACTCAAAGCAGAGAAATTCTTGATTATAAATCTCCCCCTCCCCCAAGTGCCTGAAGCCATATTTTTTTTCATCCATAGTCACTTTTAAAATCTATTTGCTCTCCCTTCTCCTCAGGAGCCACTGGAGTTTCTTCCCATCACTTTCTTCTCGAGTACATTGATTCACAGTTTTCAGCTCCCAGATGGGGGGAAAACTGGCTGAGTGAAACAGAGCGGCACCAATTTGCACCAGTGAAAGATTTGGCCTTGCTGAGTTAAAACAAAGACGAGCTTGTCAGGTTTCCAGTCCATCTCCCTGGCACTCTGGGATTGTTCTTCATAATGCATTTGCCAGTTCTTTCCCCAGTTTAATTTTAAATGGCTTAAGCTGCCTGCATTTCCCTTGTGAGATTTCCCCACCAAGTAGCAGAGCTCACCATTATGAAATTCTTTCTAATCTAGGGGGGTTTTTTTTTTTTTTTTTTTTTTTTTTTTTTTCTCCTGTCTGCTGGTAGTTATGTGCTCTTGGACAACTGTGCCCTCATGTTTGCAGTCCTTTCCCAGCCCCTGGCAGCCATGGTTTCACCCAGCTCTCACGGCTTAACTCTTTCACTCAACCCTGTTTTTCCGGCAGGGGCACCATCCAAATTACCTTCCTCAGATTTCATTTCCATGGCTGGGCTGCCAGGGACTTGGTGCTTTGCAAACCTTTTCAACTGAGATTAGTGCACTGTTTACTAACTACTCCATCCCCCCAGCCTTGTAAGGATCATGGCAATAATTTGGATGATTTGGAAATTAAATATATCCTGCTGAAGCCAAGAAAGCACCAGGATGGGATGTGTGCTCAGACTTCTAATGGAAGGTGTCCCTGCCTGTTTTGTGGAGGTTGTAATTAAATTATCTTTAAGGTCCCTCCCCACTCAAACAATTCTATAATTCAACAATTCTTCCAAAGTGTTAACCATGGCCTTATCCTAAAGCTCGTGCTTAAGAGCAGATGATTTCCACATAGTACTTAAATTTAAGGCTTTGATCTTTGCTAAGTCAAAACTTTTGGAGGAGCCTGCCCCTCTAAAACAGTATTTCCATGTCCTGATCTCCGTGACTTTTCCTTCCAGAGCCCAGTTTGGAATCGTCTCCCTGTGCCTTCCTCTCTGCTCCCTGCTGCTCTCTCCGCCTGCCGCTCCTCTCACGTGTCCTCCTTTCCTCCTCTCTGCAGGTGATCTGCACGCTGGTGGCGGCTTTCTTGCACTTCTTCTTCCTCTCCTCTTTCTGCTGGGTGCTGACCGAGGCCTGGCAGTCCTACATGGCCGTGACGGGCCGGTTACGGAACCGCATCATCCGCAAGCGCTTCTTGTGTCTCGGATGGGGTGAGGATCCGGGGGCTGCGGAGCAGAGAAGAGCCAGGCTGTAGGAGGGGCTGGTGCTCCTCAGGAGGCTTGGCAGAGAGTGCTTGGAACCCTTCCAGGGGTTTCAAGAAAGGCTGAAATGGTTAAAAATAGAGAGCCAGAAGCTAAACCTCCTGCCCAGCGCACTCGAAAATAGAGGAGTCGAGTTCAGGTTTCAGAGGATGCTCCAGGAGTGGTTTCTCCTGGGCTTGGGTCTGTTTCTTGCTTTCTACTTTTCTCTCTCTGTCTCCCTCCGTGTTGGATATGTTCTGTTGGTACATGATACCAGCCAAGGGAATCCTGGCCTGGATCAGCAGGACCAGGGCAGGGATTGTCTCTCTGTGCTGGGCACTGCTGGGGCCACACCTCCAGCTGTGGGGTCAGTTTTGGACTCCTTTCTACAAGAAAGTCATTGAGGTGCTGAAAAATGTCCAGAGATGGCAGTGGAGCTGGGGAATGGTCTGGAGTACCAGGAGTGGTTGAGGGAGCTGTGAGAGTTCAGCCTGGAGAAAAGGAGGGTCAGAAGGGACCTTCTCACTCTCCACAGCTCCCTGACAGGAGGATGCAGCCAGAGGGGGCCAGGTTCTGCTCCTAGGTAAAAGTAATAGAGCAAAAGGAAACAGCTCCAGTTGCACCAGGGGAGGTTTAGATGGGATATTAGGGAAAATTTTATCACTGAAATGATGGCCAAACATTGGAACAGGCTGCCCAGGGAAGTGGTGGAATCAGCATCCTTGGAAGCGCTCAAAAACCCATGCAGCAGTGACATTTAGGGTCATGGTTTAGTAGTGGACCTGGCTGGACTCAATGATCCTGGAGGTCTTTTTAACCTCAATGATTTTATGGTTCTAAGACTCTGCAGATCAACCTGGAGTGAAGCAAACTCTGAAATCCTGTCTCCATGGCAGCAGTGCCTTTCGGAGACAAATAAACTGCGAGACTGCTGCAGATGCTTGTAACTAATTTTTCTCCCTCTGCCTCTGCCGTATGTTTAATTTATTAGCCTTAAATGATGCATTCTGTAGTAGAAAACAAATACAAACCCATAAACCTGGGCTTTCAAAACGATAACAAGGGTGTGTTTGAAAGGAGCAGCGACACAAAAAGTTGCTGAGAAGTGAGGAGGCAAAGGAAAGAAAGGAGTGTGGCTGAGCTCTATTAATGCCTCATTTTACTACTGAAGTCTCACAATTCACCCCAGGCAAGAGATTTCTTGTGCTTACCGAGCACCCTGATGTGATTTATTCTGGCACATCAAGAGCTGTCCTCGTTGCAGCGCGTTCATCCCTTTAAGTTTTCCCTCCTAAGCTTTTGCTTACAAAAGAGAATAAATTGTGTTATTAAAATCCAGGGTTTACGTGTTAGCAGGAGCAGAACCATGATACCTGCAGAGGACAGGCTGCAGGAGCCTGGGTGTGCTCATGCATGTGTTTATACCTCCTTAGTGACTCCAGCAACATCAGGGATATCAAATGTAACAGACTAATAGCTTGCCTAGGTAATAAAAAGGGATTTTTTCCCCCCTGTTTTGTGAAAGCTGAGACAGATGGGTGTGTTAGCCAAGGGAATTTTGCATGAGCAACGTTCACGTTTGTAGTCTGTACAGATTAAAAAAAAAAAAATTCCCCCTACATGTGTAGAAGCATAATTTGCACTGCTAGTAAAATGTAGTCAGCTCTGAGCTAGAATGCACTGCTGATAAATGATGCATAATAACCATTTGGAGTAGGTTAGGACAAGAAATGAAGAACACTCTTGCCTATTAAGGCGGCAAGGGAATTTTGGATATTTAGCATCCTGCTAGACTTCAGCTGTAGAGCTGGGATTAATGGCACTTGTAAGAGGAAAGAAGCCGAAAATATGTTTTAAAGAGCATAATCTGAAATAATTAGCACAATTCACTTTGTCATGGGCTGGTTCTCCCCCCTTTCCCCTCTTTGCACATTTGCATTTCTCTAAGCCGTCGTTCGAGACGTCTTTGCCAAGTTCTCAGCTGTAGCTCATTGAAGCTGCAGAGAATTTCAGCAGCAGGGAGGATTATTTTATATTGCTTTAGTCTCCTCTTAGACGTGCAACTTTGCAATTCAATTTTTAAATTATTATTAGTAACAATTATTATTAGTGATTCTTGTCCGTGCTTGGACAATGCTCTCAAGTTCACGATGTGACTCTTTGGGTGATCCTGTGCAGGGTCAGGAGCTGGACTTGATGATCCCTGTGGAGCCTTCCAATTCAGGATGTTCTCTGGTTTAGAATAGACAGATAAATTGTTCCCTGGGAACAGCTCAGTCATCATATTTAGCCCCAATAAAGAAGAAATATTTTTTGTCAGGATTTTTATGACCCTGTTATAGTTTCCACAGCTGGATTTTTAATGCTGCCATAGCTCAGCCTCTGAGTGGGTCTTCAGCTGTTTATAACAAGAATGGCTCTTGGGAATTATTAGCAAACATCTTCTCTAGTGGAACATGATTAACACATGGCCTGATTCTCCTGTGACCTGGAAGTACAAAATTCTTTGAAAGAGGTTTTGAATGGGTTTACTTGGGATTGTGGGTGTTAAATTCCCTTCATGCAGAAAGCCCCCAAAGCCTCGATGGTACTGCCTGTACCACACCAGGTATATGGAACAGGACAGTTAGGAATAAATATCTTGATAATAATAATAAAAAAAATCTATTAAAATTTGATTTTTTGGTGGGGATTTTTTTTAATCTATCCCCATCTAACTTTGCTTAGACTGCTGACAGCTCTCCCAGGGCTGCACCTCTCATTATGATTCTCTTTGGCTGAACTACCACGACGTAGCTGCCACCTGTAGTACCTGCTCCTTGTGCAGACCCATTCCCAGCCCAAACTGAGGCTTTTACCCAGCCTTGGAATGAGCCAGTCCCTGGAGCTGCCAAGTTCACAGCCCCACTCTGGATTTCTTCATAATTACCACGTCGGAGAGAAGCAGTTTGCGAAGAACAAGTTGCTATTTTTGGCGGAGTCTTTGCCAAATTTCCTCTTTCCCAGGGTCTCTTGCACCAAGCTGTATTCCCGAAAATGTCCCTTCCCGTGTGGTTTCTTCCCATGGGATGCTGTATGGATGGCACCCTAGGAAATGCAGCAGCCAGGATTTATCCAGATGAGGTGTGAAGGAGGCTGAGTGAGAGTTCAGTGAGGGAAAAAATGAGGAAAAGAGGAATGGAATGGAAAGGAAAGAAAAGAAAGGAAAAAACGAGAGAAAAGAAAAGGAAGGAAAAAAGGGAAGGGAAGGGAAGGGAAGGGAAGGGAAGGGAAGGGAAGGGAAGGGAAGGGAAGGGAAGGGAAGGAAAGGAAAGGAAAGGAAAGGAAAGGAAAGGAAAGGAGAAAGAAAAAAAGAAAGGAAAGGAAACAGGAAAGGAAAAATGAAAAAGGGAAACAGAAATTAATATTAAAATAGACACTTTTTAAACCCACTGCATGTTAGGTTTGGACTGATGAAATGTGACCTGTGCTTGGAAATCTCACATGGGAAGAGAAGCACTTCCCTGCAGGATAATCCCCAAATGCTCCATATTCCAGCCAGCTTGGCCCTGTGACTCCCATCTGCTGCAGAACCTCCCTGTGAATCAGCCTTGGGATGATTGGTGTTGCTGAGGGATCCCCTTCCCAGAGGAACGTGTCTGGAAGCTGTGCCTGCACATTCCTTGGATCTCCTGCAGTCACCTGCCATGCCCTCTGCAGCTCATTAGGGCCTTGTCAAGGGGCACTAATCCCAGCTGGCCACTGATCCTGCTGATTCCTAATGGGATTTTCCCATCTTTAGTGTTGAGACAGCTTAATTCCTCCTGCCACCAAGAGGAGGGCTATAAAAAGCCACATGGAGACCTCCAGAGCTGAAGAACCTGATGTTGGGAGTTGATCTCCAGACATTTCTTTAGGGAAAGGGGGGAGCTGAACTTTGAACCTTCACAGATCCTGGAAGAGACCTGAAACTCTTTCTCATTGTTGTTCGGATGAATCTGTTCCATTACAGATCTTGGGGGACCTGTTTAGGATAGGGAAACTCAGTTTTAGTTTCCTTTTCTGTCTCATTTGGGGCAGGTTTGAACCTGGGTTGCTCATCCTACACTGAGTGCAAACAAAGCTCTTAATCTTTGGGTCCTTGGAGCTGTGTTGTGGCTGAATATTCCAACTTCAGAGACACCATGATGAATCGAAGAATAAAATAAATCAATTTTATGCGTCTGAATATACTGAAAGACCCCCCACAACTGTTGAGACCACAGCAGGGCAGGAGCTCATTGCAGCTCATGGTATTTATTTAAATAACAGAGGTAATTAAAGTTCTTGCTTTTAGTTCTGAGAGTCCTGAGCTCAGTCTCTGCCCCAGAGCCAGGCTGGAATTGATGGTGCTGGAATAACTCTGGGAAAAATGGGGAATATTGAGTGGGAGAAGGGCTGCACATGTGATGAAGTGACCAATTTCCTCCTGTTTCATTCCCACAGGGCTCCCTGCCTTGGTGGTTGCCATCTCTGTGGGATTTACTAAAGCCAAGGGATACGGCACCGTGAACTAGTGAGTAAAGGATTCCTTTTCTCCCCTTGTTTTATCCTCCGTCCTTTTTGTCAAAACCCAGTCACTGACCCACAGGAGGCAGTCTGGGAGCTAAATTTCCATGTGCAGGACAATTCCTGCATCCCTGCCTCCTCAATCCATCATTTGACCAAGCTGGATTGTGTGTTCCTGTAAAAACAAGTTCACAGGGACTAATTAGGTTTAACTGTTGTATTTGTGAAATCACTTTGATCTAAATACCTTTTACTTAGATCTTTTTAATGTATTTTTTAAGGGGATGAATGTGGAATATTTAAAGTTTAGGATGTTTAAAAATTAAAGCCAGCTTTTTTTATTTTTTAATCTGTTTTTGTGCTTGATTGGCTCCATATTTTCAAAATCGCTCAGCTCAGTTTTAGGCAGCAGAATGAGCCTGACTTGTGCAAACCAAAGTTTTGACAGAAGCCTGTGTTTGCCTCTTTTCCAAATTCCACAGATTTTGTCTTTAGGAAGCTTTTATGTGCTCATAATGGGGGAAGGAAAACAGAAAAGAAATAATGGAAGAGGCAAAAAATGCATCACTCAGAGCTGAGCAAACGACTTTAAATGAAAAAGGAAAAAAAAGAAAATATTTTTTCCCTCTGTTGTGAAAAACCTTAGAAATTTCACTCACGATGACAGTTCAAGGATAATATTTTATGTAGCAATAAGTCAGGCTCTTCCCTACTACATCCCATCCGTTTCCAGAGCCTTCCTGGGCAGGGGTTTGCAGCCCACACAGGTGATGTTTGGGACTGGGGCTGTTGATGTGGCCGGCAGCAGATGCAGCTCTGCTCGTCCCACTGAGGAAATGTCATGTGGATCCTCCTGCTCTCCCTCAATTCCCACCACATCCTGCACACCCACGGCCAAATGGTCCAGGGTTTGCATTTTAATTGCAGGGGAGAATTAAAGCAGCACAGCAGCGTTTTCTTTCTGTTTGCTTTGCATCCTGAATATTTGTAAGGCAGAGGGCTCAGGATTGTGGATTTCTCGAGTGCAAATCCATAGACAGAATTCCTGAAGTCTGTGCTGGCATCAGGATGCATTGGCTGTCCCACCTTCAGTGTGTCCTGGTGGAGAGGGACCCAGTGGTTGTTGTCTGACTCAGGAGAGGACAAAACACAGCTTGGTTTGAAGAAGCATCACCAAGATCCCAAATCAATTCCCTTTGGATTTTCCGTGGGTCAGCTACTTCTGGCACTTTGCTCCAGGCACATCCGTGAGAATAATTCAAATATAATAATTAAAAATGAACAAGCCTCAGAGAGATGGGAGGCAGGTCCTGCATATTCCTGCTTCTCTTTTTTTTTTTTTATGGACTGGTGGGAATTGCTGCAACAAGCTTTGTGGCTCTGTCAAAAATGTTAAAGAGTTTTTTGGTCAACATTGAACACACAAAAGTGCCTGGGCAGGGAAGGGAGGAACGTGCAGGAAAGCACTCCCTGTTTTCTGTCCTGGACCACTGTGCCAGCATCTCCCACCCCACAAGTTCAGCCAGGAGGGTGTCAACATGTGACAAAGCCTGCTGGGCTCCTGCTTTGCTCTCCACTTGGCAGAGGGTGAGGTGGCCAAGAGGCTGGGCTGACTCTCCAGCGTTCTCAGGGGTTGCCTGGTCACTCCAGCTCTCCTCCTTTTGCTGCCAATGCTCTGGCTCCTTTCAGCCCTAAAGGCTCTGTCACTCCTTGCATCCAAGGGCTGGATATCCATCCAGGGGATGGAAGGGGATCCCGTGCTCCCAGCTCTGCTGTCAGCATGTTTGTCACCAGTGGTGGTGAGGCCTTCACACCCCAGCAAGTCCAGTTTGATGAGTTTGATTTCAGTGATCCTTGTGTGCCTTTTCTGAGATATTCCATGGTTCTCTGGTCCCTCCTTTTGCCTCCTTTCCACATTTCCCAGTGTGGAGTGAAGCTGGTGAGTCCCACCGAAGTCATGACAAGGACAGCAGTTCCTCTCAAGCTCATAGATCCCATCGGACATCTCCAACACTGCCATCCTGATGTAATTCCACACTTTAGTACCTTCCAGTACCTAAAAGGCATACAAGGAGGCTGAGAAGGACTTTTTCCAAGGGCTTGTTGTGACAGGACAAGGGAAAATGGCTTTGAGCTGAAGGAGGATAGATTTAGATTGGATATTGGGAAGAAATTCTTCCTTGTGGGGGTGGTGAGGCCCTGACACAGGTTGCCCAGAGAAACTGTGGCTGCCCCATCCCTGGAAGTGTCCAAAGCCAGCTTGGAGAGGGCTTGGAGCAACCTGAGATAGTGGAAAGTGTCCCTGCCCATGACAGGGGCAATGGACAAGACGATCTTTGAGGTCTCTTCCAACCCATTCCATGGTTCTCTGAATTCCTGCTGGAACTGGCTTTCCCAAGAGCCAGAGTTAAACAGAGCTCACTTGCTCACTGAGTGGTGGGTTCACGAGCCCTCATGCTGAATGGAGCATCTCTGTAATGAGAGTTACATTTACACTTTTGTGCATTTTAAAACATGGAACAAATATTGCTGTGGGCCCAGCTGGACAGGGTGCCCCGACAGACTGGAGTGCATTCACACTTAGACCTCTTTTCCTGCTCAAAAGGGCTTAAAAGCTCTGTTGCATTGCTGTGTGGGGAGGCCCTTGGTTTTAGCTCTCCTCCAGAGCAAAGTCAGCACTGCACGACAGCAGTCTCAGAGCTGAACTCCAAAATTTAGGGTTTATCTTGGATATTGGGAAGAAATTCTTCCCTGTGAGGGTGGGGAGGCCCTCAGGTGCCTGGAGAAGCTGGCTGCCCCATCCCTGGAAGTGTTCAAGGCCAGGTTGGACAGGGTTTGGAGCAGCCTGGGATAGTGGAAGGTGTCCCTGCCCATGGCAGGGGGTTGGAACCAGGTGATCTTGAAGTCCTTTCAGCCCAGTTTTGTCTCTGATGGGCACTCATGGGGCATTTCAGGTGAGCACTGCAGACTTTCAAGGCCCAGTATTTCCAGCTTATAGAAAGAAAGAAAAACTTTAATCACAGCACATTCCTCCCTAGGAAGGAGGGGACAAGAGCAGACAAAATAAATCACAAGGAGCTTCTAAAAAAATTTAAAAACTCATAAACCATGCAGAGCCTTTTAAAGCATCTTCCAACCCTACAATTTCTGGTCCCAAGAGCAGTGCATGAGCTCCCGTGGTGGAGGTAGACATGAAGTCAAAGCAGGGCTCTGATATTTAGGTGACCATAGAATTTAACACTCAATAGCAGTTTTTTTTCTAAACCCACTCACTCAAGGGTAAAAAAACCCTTGACATCCCACTGCAGGACATGGTCATGAGGGCATTCTGGGGACAGCTGCAAGTGTTGAAGGCCTTGCAGAATTAATCTTGGTGTTAAAGACTTTCGGGGCAGAGCTGGTGGAAGGGGCGGGGTGTGAAATGTGTGATATGTATTGAGGCTGGATCTGCCAGCCCAGCTGGATCTTCAGGATGTGCCGAAGGTGGCCCAGCCACACTGGAACAAACTCCATCAGGAGTCCTCAGCAGGATTTCACCCAGTTTGGTCCTGGTTTTTTGATTGTACATGGGATGAAGCTTTTCTCTAACAATGAAAACACAACTAAGGGGCAGGACAGGGCTCTGTGCCACCAAGAATTGTCCCATCATAGGCTTGGCTGTGTCTCCAAACTCTAATGCAGAGAGATCAGAGCCTGTGGTAAGTTTAGGGAGCTTGTAGTATGTTAAATATTTACCATTTAGCTGGACAGACTGCACTGAGTCATGGGTTGAGGAGGGAGAGAGAGGTTCAGATTAAAAATTGAATATGTGCTGCAGGATATGGAGTGTATCTGTTGTTCTGTGAGTGGTGATTCCCAGCAGCCATTCACTCAACCTTCATTACTCAGGACTCTCCAACAAGGGGATTTTTCCTTTTTTTCCTTTCTCTTGTCTGAACTGCATTTGAAAGGACATTTTGCTGTTGTTTGGAGCGTGCTGGGGCAGGGTAGAGGCTGCATTTCCAGTCTCAAAGAAAGTCTGAGGGGTACCAGAGGTCTAAAGGACCTGCCACTGATCACCTCCTTAGATTAGGCAGAGTGCCTGAATAATAACTCTGCTTTTAGCTGGTGCTCCAGGGACTGCCTCTGGACCTCTAAAGCTTCACAAACAACCTCCTAAAGCTTGAAGTGAATAATTGAGGTTGTGCCACTGGTGCTGGGAGCTCACATCCTTCCCCACAAGAGAGCTCATCAGAAGTTTTCTGAGAGCACAGCCTGCACACAGCAAATTTCTCAGGGTCCTGGAGTGTCACTGCATCAGGGCTTTTGTGACTCACAGGTATCTCAGCAGCTCCTGGGTTAATCTCTGGATAAACACTGCTGGGCCAGCCCTGATTCCCGACTGTAATCTCAGTTTTACAAAATGTTCTGTTGGTGCTGCCTCATCTTACACAGGTTTGAGGTGAGAGCACAGGGCTGGACAGTGTGAAAAAGGGCTCAGTGGAAGCCAGCCCTTCCCAGGCCCAGGACAAAAGCCACCACCTCCCATCTGTGCCATGGCAGAGTCACAAAAAGATCAGATGGTTTGCAAAAAAGGGGTTTTTTTTGTGCTGAACAGGAAAGCTGCTGTCAGTCAAGGAAACACTGCTCAGGAATTGTTAAACCATTCACTTCCTCCCTTCCAGTGATAATTTTATTTTAAAAATCACTGAAGAGATCCCTTGGAAAGTACAAGGGAACCTCTTAGCAAAATGCAAATATTTCTGTGCCTCGTAGGCACGAGGCTAAAGCATCTCCACTAGGCTGGGGTTTGCTGTCAGTTCTGAATCTTGGATATCCCTTCACCCTTTCCTTTCCCGTGCTGGCAGCCAGCACCTCTGACAGCCTCAGAAATGCTTTGATGAAGTGCTGTGGCAGGGAGGTCAGGCAGTCAGGAGGGATCAGGGCTGGTGCTTGCTGATGTGTGAGCTCACCTTCACAATTCCTGATGTTCCTGGGGGAGCAGGGGCTGCCAGGGACCCTGCAGGAATGAGAACCCTCTTTGCACCAAGTCCTCATCACTAATTGCAGTGCAGGTCTGTCAGATTTCTTCATCTGAGTCACCAGTTGGAAGAGACGCTGAGATAAAACGTCTCAAAAATCAGGATAGAGCGTTGGATGAAAAGGTTTGGACAAGGACTGGCATTTGGGAGCCCTCCTCTTGCATTTAGGGAGACCTCCAGTCATTACAGAGCTCCAGAGCTTCATTTTTACTCCCTCCCTCCTCAGCTGATTATTCATTTTATTATTACAGTTGCTCAGACAGCTTGTGACAGAGCAACTTGCTATCAGGAAGAAATCAGAACTGATTTAATTAGCACATTACAGGTTTAATTTAGACATAAACAAGATTCAGACCTTGGAAAAAAGCAGAATATCCTACTTTTAATTCTCAGTTTGAAATACTTGCATTTTTTTGGGCTGCCTTTTCAAAAATGTTCCTTGTTTTGGGGTGAAAAAAGATTAACATTTTTTTGCAATTGAGATTTAATTTAAAAAAAAAAAAGAGGGTGGTCAACAAAGCTGAAATGTTTCAAGGAAGATTTTTTTTTTCCCCTGGGAGCATCAGTTCAGTCCTGATGCAGGATGAAAGCATCTTGCTGAGGGCAGGGCAAGTGAATTACTGCAGGCTGAGCTGAGTTAAGAGCTTGGAGAAAGTTCCCTCTCGATTGTAGTTTCCTGCTCTTCTCCTGTGGTGAGTGCATGCTCGTTTCGTGCTGAAACAGGATTACTCCATCCCACATTTTCTCCAGAGTTCTGCCCTGTTAAAGCATGCAAACTTTCCCAGGGGCTGCTGACACACTGTAAATTCCCATCCTCTCCTGCCCTGCAGCACTTAATTTGTGTGTCCATGCCCTGAATTGCTGGATTCCCCACCAAAAAAAAAAAAAAAGGGAATTTCAGCTCCAGTGCTGCTGTGGATGTTCATGGCTGTCACAGAGCCTGAGGGGTTTTTTTTGTCCAAGCACCTGCTCAAGCAGGGTCACCTGGAGGTGACCCAGGGCTGTGCCCAGGTGGCTTTTGAATGTCTCCAGTGATGGGGATTTCACAAGTGAAAGGGGGAAAAGTGTTTCCTTCCTGGCTTCACAGTAAAACATGAAAAACAAAAACTCAGAAAATTACTAAAAGTAATTTCAAAGTCATCTCATTCCACCCCTGACCTGGCAGGGACACCTTCCACTATCCCAGGTTGCTCCAAGCCCCATCCAGCCTGGCCTTGGACACTTCCAGGGCCTCAACCAAGAGCTGTCAAACGAGAGCTCCCTCAGTTTGAGAAGGCACCAGGCAGTTCAGGAGCCCAAATTCCACATCTGCTCAGTGCAGAAGGGAGATGTCCTTCTCAGGTTATGTGGTGTGAGGGAGAAGGAATGAGCTGGTTTCCAGAAAAGGCACCACACACTTCACATTCAGCTCATTCCATAAGAAATTCCACTCATGGAATGCTGTGAGTTCCCACCTTGCTGCTGTGTTGTTAAATTTCCCCATGGAGCCAATCTCAAAGAGAGTGAAGAAATGTCCTGCACCCCTGGAGCACACAGGGATCAGCAAATGAGCAGAGGAAAATTTCCACTCTTTCCCCTCTTTCTCCCATGTAAGTAGGACAAGAGCATCATCCTGCCAGCCAAATGCTGCAGCTGCTTCCAGGACCTGGTCTGAAACAGAGCACTCTCCTTAATTTGGAATGAATTCCCCTGTCAGATGTCATCCTGCGGGCAGCTCCCCAGGCAGAGGAGCCTTTATGCAAGTTCAGGAGAGATGGGAAGCAAAACTTGTTTGATTTAAAGTCTGAGAATTATTTTTTTTTTTATTATTTTTTGCCGTGGGGTGTCACCTCCCAGGCTGAACTCTGGCAGGCAGAGGGAAGAAGCCAACATGTGCCTGTTGGGGACATTTGCCACTGGGTCACTTTCTCTTCTCTCTTCATTTTCCAGCTGCTGGCTGTCATTAGAGGGAGGACTCCTCTATGCCTTCGTGGGACCGGCGGCTGCTGTCGTTTTGGTATTTAAGCTTGTCTGAAAGATTTCTTTTTTTCTCCTCTATAACTTATAGCAATTTCCTTGTTCTCTCAACCCAAGAATGCCCCTCTTTATTTCCACTTGTGTTTCGAAGAGCTTCCTCCTTCAGGAATAAAGAGCAAAGCCAACACTTTGGGATGGGGTTGGTTCTGAAATGTAATGTGCCTCAGCTCTCAGCCTTCCCCTCTGTCTTCACTGGAGCCCCCTAACATCTGATTAATGCTTTGCCTTGGTTTTGCCATGTCTGGATGGAAGGGTAGGATGATGGTGGAAAATTCTGACATTTTCCTTCAGAAAATGCTGTTCCTGGTGCTTTTCAGACCAGCTTTTATTCCTGGTTCATCCCAGGCCAGTGCATGTGAGCAGATTTCCTTGTCTGCAGGTGAAACTGAAATCTTCAAATCAATGCTGAGGGGATCTCTTCTGACCCTAAAAATGTCACGTTTGCTTTGAATTCAAAGAGATGTCAGGGTTAAAGTGGGCATTCCTAAACTCGAGCTCCTGCATGGGGAGTCCATTCTTCTGCCCCATCACCCTGGTTCCAACACAGCCCCAACACCAACATTGCCCAGTTATAAATTGAATTTAAGGTGTCATTTGAGGTGACATTCCTTCCCTGCTGCTGAGGCCTCACTGCCCATGAGAAGCTTCAGGGCTGAAAGAATCTGAGAACTGCTGCTCCTCCAGGAAATCCCTCCTGCAGCAATTTCTGATGGGTTTAAAGCCACGTTTGAGCCCTCACATCTTTCTGCAGTTTCTCTCCAGCTCGTTTTATCCAGTGGAGGAGCTTTATGCCCTATGAGGCTCCGGAGAGCCCCACAGGATTGGGGTTGTTGATACTCACAATTCCTTTTTCAGTTCAGGCTTTTGTTTCGTGCAGTGCCTGGGGGATGAAATGCCCCGCAGCAGGAGCTTACAGGAGAATAACTCCACAAAAAGCTCCTGCTGCCTCTATTCTCAGCGCTGTCACTGCACATCAAACCACCTTGGTGCCATCATTTCATCACAGTGACAAAGAGAAAAGCCAACAGCGGCCCCTCCTCTGCAAGAAATCAAAACTGGTATGAGCTGAGGTCTTTCATGTGGGGTTGTGACACAGTGATTTGGAGGGAGGAAGCTTTGGTAGTGCCCAGAGTCACTCTGCTGCCTCAAACCACCTCACTTTTGTTGTGCCAACAGCAAGGGAGGTGATCTTTCTATTTTTCCTCTTTTAAAGTGTGAGGATAACACAGGAGCCTGCTTCCATTTGGCAGCTCAGATTTCCCTCACCATCAAGCAGTGGAAATGGGATGTCCTCACAGAAGGGTCAGCACATGCAAATGGTGGTTCCTGCAGCTGATATTTGGCAGTGGTGAATCATCTCTGGGGGTGTCTGGCCCTGGTCAGCACCAAGGGAGAGGCCACACGCCTCATTTAGACTCCCTGACTCATTCCTGGCCAAAGTGACAAATTAATATTGCTCTGGTAGAGACACCAAAGAGCTTGGGGAAGAAGGAGAGGCATGGAAAGCCTTTTTATAAATGGGAACCTGCAAACAGATGAGCTCAGAAAGTTGATAACACTCTGAAGGTGGTTGGCCTGCAGCTTCAGCAATCTTCATAACTCACAGTCAGGCCACTGACACTGAACAGCTGCAGCTTTGAAGGATAAAGGTTTGACCTTTATTCTTAAAAATCCTGATCTACCTTAAGCACAGAGCTGTTGGAAGCAGTTCTGCTCGCCCAGCTGACGTGGAGCAGCCTCATGATAGTTGTGTGCAGGCTGAAGGCAGGGGGAGGCTCGTGGAACAAAGTGAGGACAGGGTCAGCAGTGGTCAGGTCGTGGTTGTCTCCAGGAATTTCAGACTTGAGGCTTTGCTTCTGGAAGTTGTCTCAAAGATGAAGAAGTAAAGCTACTCTGCATGTTACTGGAAGAATATCCCTGTGGTATCCCTGACTTAGGAAAAAAGTGGAGCCAAGATCAGAGCAGGGTGTTGATCAGTGTACTGGATTGATTGATTGATTGATTGATTGACTGATTGATTGATTAAAACCAGTGCAGAACTGCTCTTTGTTGTCTCCCCTGCTCCTTAGGAGTGAGGATGCACACTTTGGCCAGCCCTAGGAGAGGTCCAGCCACACTTCAACCCCACCTTTCCTCCTACCTGGCTGCACCTGAAGGAAAAACGTTCCTTGATCCTCCGCAGTGAAGGATCAGTGATCCTTTCAAAGTGCTCCCTCTCTTTCCAGGCTCACAAGCAGGCTTTGATTTCCTGCTGATCCTTGGCTGTGTCACTGTGCCTGACTTGCCAGTGCTGTTTCTCTGAATCAATACCATGGTGAACTCTAGAAGTGGTCTCAGCTGTCCACTGACCCAGCAGCTGATGCACACAAAAAGAACTGCAATTTCTGAGATTTTCCGTGGATTCCCAGCTGTGGGCTCCACATCAGTGAGCTGGTGAAACCAGCAGAAAGATTGATCAGTGTTTTGAGGATGATTTAGGCAATTAGGCAGAGGCTTGGTCCTTTTCCTTGGGTCAGGTGATTCTTTGGATCTCTTAAAATCAAAAACACCTGAAGTCACATGAATTTGTCTCTGAATTTGGCCTTAAAACATTTCCCTGCAAGCCCCACGTGCAAAACAGCATTGACCACACGTTTCTACCACCAGCAGCTGTTTCACTGACAGAAAAACCAGGAGAATGTCTCCTTTTTCCACCATCACGACCTCCTCTACGCAGGGGTGGGGCTGGTGTGTCACTAACGTGTTGGGGATGGGGTTTGTAAAGCAGATGCAGCTGGCAGCAGTGGATGCAGTTGGAAAGGCACAGGGAGGATTTTGGGGTCACTCTGCAGGATCTCAGCTCTGTCCAGACTGTGTTTCACTGTGGATTTTTGTTTCTGGTGGACACAGACATCCCTGCTCTCACCCTGAGGAAAATGGACTGCATGGAATTGTAACACCTACTAATTTTTTTTGGGAAGTTCTCCATGCTGTGCCATCTTCAGTATCTCCCAAGACATCCCACCAGAGCAGATGATGTTTCTACTTGCTCCAGTGCCCCTCTACCTCTTATTTTGAGAGCAGCAGTGGCGTTTCACCAGGAAAGATCTGTGACACATTGTCTGAATTCTCTTAATGCTGCTTCTGACTCCAGAAGGTGCTTTGGGAAGCAGCCAGTGCCAGCCCACTGCTCTTCTCTGTACTGGCCACTCTCTGTTTGGATTAGCCCAAAAAATTGTTGCTGTGCCTGGAGTTTGCCTTGCTGGACCTCAGGCAGTGTTGGGGTTCGAGCAGCCCTGCAGCAATCTGGGAAATTCCCAGTCTCTTCTGCTTCATGGAGACCTGGCTGAGGGTTGGACCTGATGATCTTGGGGGGTCTTTTCCAATCTTAATGATTCTCCAACCTCCCTGATCTGCTGCCAGCTGCATTCTGCTGTCCTGCACTCACTGATGCACGGTCAGGGGAGGTGGGACAGTGGGGGACACAAGGGGTGGTGGCCTGCAGGGGTGTGACCTGGCTTTGGGAGAAACCCTTCTGTGTTACTGAGCTTGACCTGACCCTCCTGAGAACAAAACTTGTGTGTTGTTTCTCTTTTGACAGGTGAACATGGTTATTGGCATTCTGGTTTTTAACAAACTTGTATCCAAAGATGGAATAACAGATAAGAAACTGAAGGAACGGGCAGGGTATGCCTTATCAATACATATAAGTAAAGAGTGAAAATAAAAACCAAGAAATACCCAAGGTTGTGATCAATAACCAGGCAAGGGGTGAAAAAAGAGATTGAGGATGCAGACAAAAATAAAGCAAAACCAGATTTTAACAAAATGAAAGAAAAAACCACACTTGATTTAATGCCTTTGCACTGTCATTCAGTGCAGCAGGACACAGAAATCCAAGAAGCAGCCCTGTGTTGCTGTGGAGGAAGGATAGAAGTTCATCTCTTTGTTAAAATGGCTTCAGCCAAGGCTCATATATCCTCCCAGAAATGAGGGAGAGCAAAGTGGCTCTTGTCAGTAACTCCTGGAGACAGCAGAGAGAGACTCAGCACTGCTGAGTGTGGCACGAGCTGGGTGACAGAGGGGTCGTGTCTGAGGGCTGGCAGGGCTCTCAGGGACAGCAGAGGTGTGTGATGGAAGGGAATGGGTTCTGGAGGTCTGGCAGAGAACAGAGCAGCAGATGGATGCAGTAGGAGAGGTGAGTTAAGAACCTCTGCTGCGAGAAAAAATTCTGCTGCCATCTGAGGTTCTTTATCTTCTCCACAGACTCCATTCCTGAATCCAGAGGATTTTTATTACCTGGTTTCCTTTGGAGTACAAATCCAAGAGTTGACTCCCCATTTCTCCCCACCCTGGTGTCTCCCAGGGCTTTGCCCAGGGCAGCAGCTCCCGGGCAGGGCTCTCTCTTGGGTTACTCCCAAACTTTTGGCAGTGGCTGTTTTGCCACTGCCAGTATCCCCAGCAGGATGAGAATCCCTCTCCTCTCCATTTCCAGGAACAAACCTGCAGTCTGCTCAGATTTTATCCCTGAGCAAGGGACAGAAATGGCAGGCTGACACTCTGAGTCTCCTCAGATAACCAGGTCAGATGTGTGTTGCTTTCCCCTGCCTTTTTGTCTCCTTGTTGCAGTCAGAGAAGCTCTGTCCATACCTTCTGCTGGGAAAAGCAGGGATCTCTGCTCCCAATTGTCCACTGCAGGAATTTGTTTTATCGCTGTGGGTAACAGCTGTGTTCTGGAAGGAAGAAGTTCTTCACAAAGGAATGAGGAGAGCAAAAGCTGTTCTGGTTCCTCTGCATGGAGGCAGAGTTTGAAACCTTTGGAGGCTGGTGGAGAAAGCACAGGATGCATAGATATATCCTGTCTGTCCAAGTGGAGGGAGAAAGAGTCTCCACTGAGTCTCAGAGGGCAGGGGTGGATAATATGGATGAGCTTCAATATTCCTGACGCTGTTTTTTAATTGAGTGGTGGAGGCAAAACCCAGGGTAGAGGCAAATTCTTATCCAGGACCTCAAATCCTGTCTTCAGTTTTGGGCCCCTCACTCCAGGAAAGACCTTGAGGGGCTGGAGCATGTCCAGAGAAGGGAACAGAGCTGGGGAAGGGTCTGGAGCATCAGGGAAGGCTCAGCCTGGAGAAAAGGAGGCTCAGGTGAGACCTCATCACAGCTCCCTGAAATAGGGAGTGGTGTGGTGAGCTGAGGGTCAGTCTCTACCAGGTAACAAGTGACAGGACAAGGGGAAATGGCCTCAAGCTGCACCAGGGGAGGTCCAGGTTGGATATTTGGAAAAATTTCATCCCCAAAAGGATGACCAGGCTTTGGAACAGGCTGCCTGGGGAAGTGGTGGAGTCACCATCCCTGGAAGTGCTCCAGAAACAAGTGGACCTGGAACTTTGTGACAGAGTTTAGTGGCCATGGAGGGTTTTGATCAAAAGTTTGGACTCGATCTTGGAGGTCTTTTCTAACCTTAACAATTTTGTGAGAAACACAGGGACCTGTTTAGGCTCATGGTTTATCAGCAGTTGATACAACCAAGTTGATACAACCAAGCCTTGGGGTCCCTGGGTGCAGCAAAGGGGAATTTTGGTGCCTGAGCAGTGCCATGGCCATAAAACAAGAGGAGATTTGGATAATCAGAGATACCAGCTGCTGCTGGGTTGAAAAATATGCAAAGAAGTGACCTTGGTGCATTGCTTCGAGCAGCTGCTAACAAGCAAGTGCTTCATTCTGGATGATGCCTTCTTGACAAAGAGAGAACTCAAAACAACACCCGGGCTGCAAGGCAGGGTCTGGAGCAGGGTAATTCCACTTGAAAGTCAGCACTGCAGTAAATGGTTTATTGGATTAGCAAAGCAGTGAGTTGCTGCCTCTCAGTCCCTCCCTCTCTAATCCAAACTGCACACGGAGTGACCTTATTTAATACACAGCAGCTGGTTATTGATCACACTCAGAGTTGGGCTTTAAAAACAAAACCTGCAAGGCAACAAAACAAAGAAAACAAAAAAAAAAAAACAAAACCAAAAAAGTAATTTTTCTGATGTTCTTTGTTTTTTTTCTTTCTTTTCTCTTTTTCCCCCTTCTTTCGTGTCCGTGTGTGTGTGTGCAGCACTTTTAAGCCTTTTCTGTGCTCAATGGTTTTGTTCTCCCTTCCCAAGTGCCCCTGCTGAGAGTGTGGGAGCACTTTTGAGAGCCCTGGTGCCCCTTTCCCTTTAGTTCTCTGCTTCTGGCCTGGGCTTGGGAACCGTGTTGGAAGGTAGATCTGAAGAAAATCAGAATGAGTAAATGGCCTTGGAGATGTTTGGACCTGAGGAGATGGTCTAAAGAAACGTTGTGTTTCCTTTAGCAGAGGCAAGAAGTATGGTTCAGTGTTGCAAAAACAGTTTTTTTAAAAGGGTGAAAAAAAAAATCCACCAAAAATAAGGGAAAAAAGAGCCGTTGGATGTTAAGAGGAGCCCAGCACGCACTCCACAGATTGGTTGTCACAAATTCATCCATGTCAACAGTTCTCATGAAATAGTACCTGAGACACAGGAATTCTGCCCTGTACTTAGCAGTGGAAATAGCTGTGATTATTGTTGTCACATCTGTCAGAAAATGCAGATTTTCTAGTGGCAGTGATTTTATAGGTGGATCACAAAACCAGGCAGTAGAGGAGGGGTTGTGAATACCTGGAGAGCTGGAGAAAAGCCAAAACTTGTCTGGGAATGGAGAAAACCATCCCAGAAAACAGTCTCTGTTGGTGGCCAACTCCACCACCACTGTTTGAGCTCTCTTGAAGGGACTACTACCAAAAAATGAATGTTTTAATGTCAGGAGCCTTTAAAATTAATTTCGAATGTATTCAGCCAGTGTTTATTCCACATTTGTGTGCTCACACAGGCAGGGAGGAAGATTGAGACCATCAGGGATATTCACCAAGGCTAATTTTAGCTGAGTTTAATTTCTCTGGGCTTCCTCTGCCACTTCTGAGGAGAGTCAGGAGCTTTGTCCTCCCTTTGAGGACCTGTTCTTTCGTCTCTGTTGATCACATAAACCACCCAAGAGGAGTTTGCCCCAAAACCTTGTGTGAAATAATCTCTGTGCAGGTGTCCTGGTGGGGTGGAACAGGGCTGGGTTGTCAGAGCACAGAGAGAGTGACTAGGAAGGTGATAACTCCACTGAGACAGGAAGGGATTGGGATTGCCCTTCCTTTGGGAATGGTTCCTTCTGGGAATGTGCTCCTGCTCTTCGGGCTGTGGATGGTGGAAAGCACTGCTCAATAAAAGGTAGCAAAGTCCAGGCTCCAGTGAACACACCAGATGAGCCCATGAGCTGTTTGTGGATGTTTAGGAAGCAGAAAAAGCTAAATTAAATGAAGGCATTATTCACTGTGATTATTTAATTAGCTTCCCTTTCATATGCACAGGCGCCAATCTAAACCTGCTACGGAAATTCAATATATTAACAACCTCATGCCCCCAGCCAGAAGGAATTAGGAGATAAATGTACCCACATCAGTGCCCACTGCTTGCAACTTTCTGCATAAACACACCCAACAGCAGCTACAGTTGTGTGTTTACAGTGGTCTTTTGGCCAGTTCTCTGTGATTCAATGTCATTCATGTTTTTTCTGGTACAATTTCCCATCAAATTCCTCAAGTCAATCTACTTTTTTTCTTTTTGCTGCCTATCTCTGCCTTTCTCTGTCTCTCTGCTTATCTGTTCTTTGTGGCTTATAGATTTGGGGATAAGCTGTCGTATTTTTTTAGTTTTTATTTTTTAAGGGTCGTGCACCTAATGCCTCTCCAGACCCACTTTATCTTTGGTTCAGCCATTGTCCTCACAGGATTTACACCATCCTTCCTGGAAGATATTTATCTGTGGACACAGGAGCTAATTTCCTCTGTGTCTGAAAGCTTCTGTGGGATGCCTTAGTCATTATTCTGCACGGGAATGATGACTTATGTCACTGTAATTAATGAAAAGATCAATCAATAGGTGCTTGAAAGGGGGCCACTGGGCCCACTGCTGCTGCTGTGTTGGTGCTCATCAGGATGTCTTTTTGCAGTGAGACTGAACAGAGAGCCACCAAAGCTAAGAAATGCTCTGTGGAGTCCCCTGATCTCTCTCCCAGGCAGGGCAGGGCCATAAAACCCCTCCTGGTTGGGGCAAACCTCCCTCAGCAGCATCCCCACCACACACCCCAGGGATGACAGACCCTATGCTGTCTTCTGGCAGTGATTTCCTGTCTTCTCTGATGCCAGGCACAGCAGGAAGGTCTGGGGGATGTTTTGCAGACTCCTTCCTGTTTTCCAAGCCAGATCTGACGTGGGTGTGGATCTGTGCAGGCCAGGGAGAGCACACAACCAGTAAATTCTGGGAGGCAACGGGGCCAGTGCCAAGCTAATGTGGCTTCTGGGCTCCTGAAGAGGAGCTGAATTGGTGGGATGGGGTGGTTCCCACACATCAGCTGCTAAAAATCCCAAGGATGTGCTTTAGCAGATCCCCTCATACCAGCAGCCTTCAGTGGCCTGTTTCTGTGGTTGGTCCCATCCAAAAAAAAAAAAAAAAAAAAAAGTGGGAGCAGCAGGTGGGAATAATTCTCAGGGTTCATCCCAAAGATGTTTTTGGCTCCAGAACAGGATGTGAAAAAAGGAATGTTTCAGAAACAGTCAGCCAGTTGGGTTCCTTTCAGGGCAGGTTAGGGGGCTAAGGAAACACCCAAGCTCAGATTAATTTCAGGACATAAAAGAGTCCCATCCTGCATCAGTGAGGGAAACAAAAAATCAAAAAGTGGCCTCTGACCAAAAACCAAAGAGTGGCCTCTGTCCTGGTCTCACCAGCTCCCAGTCAGAGAAAATAAGTGACTTATCCCTTGCATTGCTTTAGGACAGAAGATAAGCAGTCACAGCCCCCACAGCCCTACTTCTTGCCTTCTACTGCACAACCCTGCCACCTTTTTTGTTTTGGAGCAAAAAGGCCAGGAGGGAAAAGAGCAATTTCTCAAAAAAAACCCAAAAAAACCAAACTAAAAGAAGGAGGTGGAGACTGGGAGAGCAGTACTGGTTTCTCTTCCTTGGGTGCCAGAGAGACACCCTGAATCTGGCAAGACTTTCACCAACACAGTTCCACCCTCTCCAGCAGCACCAACAAATCTGAGTTGTCCATTTCCCCCCGTTCCCCGCATCTGGAGTGGTACAGATGAGAGAGTTTTAATTCCTGCCTGTCTTTCATTTCTCTTCCCAAACTGGGTATGGTTGGTTGGCTCCCTTTTCTCCTTCCTTTCTTTTTGGCTTCTCTTCCCCTTTCCTTTCGACGTTTGTGCTCATGAGCGAAGTGTTTTGTTTTGTTTCAGTCTTTTGGTTTTAATTGCAGTCAGATGGCAGTGCCCCTTTACGGCATGACGCTCAAATGTTCCAAGTGTGGAGTAGTTTCTTCTGCTGAAGTTTCGGCCACAGCCACCAGTAACGCCATGTTAGTTCCTCTAATTTCAACTTCTTTTCTTTCTTTCTTACTTTCCACTCCTTTTTTTATTTTTTTTTTGTTTTGTTTTGTTTCGGTTTTTTTCTGTTCATTTTGATTTTCGCTTTTCAGTTCCTTTTTTTATTTCCCTCTTCCATTTCCCTGCACTCACCAGCCCATGTTTGTTTTCTCTCCCCATGTCCCTGCCCACCTCCCTGACATCCCCCAGCTCTCCCCGACCTCATTCTGTGGGCCATGAGTAGAGCAGGGCTCCTGCAACACCCCTGGAGCTGATGGGCTGGATCCTGAAAAGCACTTTTTTGACATGCCTAGATTTAAGATTTAAGCATGTGACCAGCCCATGGAAGACAAAGGGACTGTGAATTTGTTGCAAGCCATGTTTAATTTGTTTAATTTGTTTTATGCTCCGTTCTTGGAGTTCCAGACTTGAAGCTGTGATTCCCAGTAATTCTGGTGGTAGACAGGGACTCCAAAATTCAGCTTTGTCAACCACTTGAGCACCTGCTTGAGTGTTTTCCTCCAGAGGCTGCAGAGCACTGAGTGTGGCTTAAGTGAGTTGGTGAATCACTTCTAAGTGGGTTTTTTCTCCTCTTATGAAATGCTGAAGTTAATACCTTGTAGGCCTGCAGGTCTGATTTGATAAGTGTTGACTGCCTCTTTTGGACCCCTGAAAGCACTTGGAATTAATTCTCAAAATCTTAAAGCGTTTCATTGCTCTGAGTTACAAAAGTCAAATGCTGTTAAATCTCTTCTTAGATGCTGCTGGAGTTAGCTTAAAAAAAAAATAAAAATTCCAGAGCTTTGTTCTGCTGGAGAAATTGCTATTTATGTGGTTGGCTTTTTTCACAAAGGTTAAGGTTGGAGGGAGAGTGATGAGGGAAGGTTTTTCTTTCTTCCTTCCCTTTTGGAAATTTTATTATCTGTATCACATCCAAGTGATGCTACACTTTGGTTTTGATGTCTAAATTAGTACATGCAAAACGTGTGAGGGAAACAGTCTCAGATCATTTGCAGTTTGAAAATTCCTACTTTTAATTAATCTAAACTAAAAGAGGCAGCCGATGGCCAGCTCTCAAAACGTAGAAAGATAAAAGAAAATCAACTCAAGAGCACCTGGAAGATGTCCCTGTTCATGGCAGGGGGTTGGAATGAGATGTTCTTTAAGGCCTCTTCTAACCCAAACCATTTTATGATTCTGTGAATCTCAGTGAAATGAAGAACTGAACAAAATCTGATTTATTTTTCACTGCTAAGGTCATTTACTCACCTTTTTCAGCAGTGCCCAGCTGAGATGGAATCAGTCCAGACATGTGTACCACAAGTCTGGAATGAGCAGCTCGCTGCTTTTTGGATTCCTGTAACTGCAGAGCAATGTTAAACCAGCAGTAGATTTACTATTAATAAATTAGACTCTTAAATAGGAGAGGCTTTCTGTTCATAGTAAATTAATTTTAAAAGTTAAAGAGTCTCAAGTCCCTCTCCAATAGTGTCTGACATTGGTCTGCAATAAATCACAAATTCTGATTCATCTCCAAATCAGGAGAAAAAAGGGATATGAAAGCCAGATCTCCTATTCATCCTGCTTCTCTAATTTAAGTGGATTGACAGAAATTGGAGGGCTCTTGTAAGAGGATTTTTTACTGTTTTGTTTCCCAGCAGATTGGGTACCTCGGATGACAGTGTCCGGTATCAATTTGGTTGTTTGTCCTCAAGTGTTCCGTGCTCTTATCCTTGCAAAGGGAACACTGAGGAATACACAAACAAGTTCACTCATTTCCCCTTGTGATCCACTTCATCCCTCAGCTGAACTGTTCCGGGTTTTCCTCCTCCAAATTTCTTGCAAATGATGTTGCCAAAAAGGCAAAACTGTGATTATTCTTCATGCCACTGCCACCCTTCTGCTGGGCTCCCTCCTCCCAGGCCTTGCAGCAGCTTTGCCATTCAGTTTGTTCATTTTGAAATGTGGATTAAATGCCATGAAGATTCCTGGCTCCTCCCTGGCCTGGAATAAGCCATAATTTTTTAGTGCAGAGCACATCAAGGGTGTTCCTGTCTTGTTCCTGCTGGGGTTGCTCATGCCCTCCCCAGCTTCCCTGCCTTAGATTCCAGAGTTTTATTTCTGGGGTAGCACAGAGTGAGAAATAGATCCCTTAGACTGTTTTTCTTGGATTTAGGAAATCTTTGTGGTGAGATCTGTGGTTGGAGAAGGAGATGTAAAAAGGAGGAAAACAGAGGGAACTGATGGGAGAGAAAAGTGACAGAAGTGGAAAAATAAGTACTGGAAATGGTGTGATTTCTTGACCTGGGGAATGATAAATGGAAATGTTTGGATATCTGTGACTTGTTAGGGGTTAGCTGGACTTGACAGGTGTGGGTTAAATAAATCCTTCCCTTCAGGCTGTGCTGAAGACGATCTTGCAAGACCTGTGTTCCCACATTTCCTCCCATTTATTGCTGCCTGTAGGGCACCCTCAGCCAGTGAAACGTTGCCTTGTAATTAATTTGTCTTTGCTACCCATGAAAATTATTTTATCTGAGATGGAAAATGTGTCTCAGGGGCTTGGTTTTTCTTGGTGCTGGCTGTGAATGAGGGAATCCACTGCAGATAGCAGGAAGTGCTGAGGGATGGATGGATGGATGGATAGATGGATGGATGGATGGAAGGAAGTTGATGTCCCATCCCTGAAAATGTCCAAGGCCAGGTTGGACAGAGCTCTAAGCAGCCTGGGATAGTGGAAGGTGTCCCTGCCCATGCCAGGAGATTGAAACTAAATGATCTTTAAGGTCCCTTCCAACCCAAACCACTCCATGAATTTATGAATCCGTGCCAAGCAGATCATTGGAAATCTGGACCCTCAGGCTCTGACCAGTGGGAAGAGACTCGCCCAAGACTAAAACCCTGGCACAGTGTATTTTTCCAGGCATCCCACCCAAGAGGCAATGTCAGGGGTTCCTCATGACCCTTATCATCATCATTCCTCTTAAATCCTTAGGAATTTACGTGTCAAATCTCCCATCTAAGGGTTTAGCCCTTTTTCTTGGCTCAATATCCTTTTAGGGAGTCTTGGATGTCAAATTTTCTGCCTGTATTGTAATTCCAGGATTAATGTGAGTCAGTGCTTCCATGCATGGCTGGTCTAGGAAGGACACTGTTCCTCAGGAGAGTGTTGTTCTCATGGTTCAAGGAATTTGAAATCCTATCCTTACCTGGGGATAATACCTGGATCCTGCAAGTCCTTCTTGGACTCTCAGAGAACACCTTCCTTAATTAAAGGTGAATAATGAAGCAGCCTGGTCACAGCTGCCTCATCACCTGCCTGTCTCATGTCATAAAATCATCACAGAATGGTTTGGGTTTGGAGGGACCCTAAAGTTTATCTCATTCCAGACCCCCCACTATGAACACTTTCCACCAGACCAGGCTGCTTAGGGCAGTTTAGAGGCATTTGATTTCCTGTTCCCCTAATTTCATTATTTATATTGCAGCTACTGGGAGTAGAATAATCTTTTAGGGGAGAATAGAAATCACAGCAGGTGTTTCTTTTTTTGCCTGCGCAAGGGAAGAGCAAGCAGAGTTTCCCCTCGTTTTTGGTTACAGGTTTCCTATCCTGGTTATATAGGCATTGAGTTACAGAGATTTGCTCTAAAAGTGGCCCTAAAATTGGGACAACACTCTTGCTTTTGGGAGGAACAGTTTGTAAGTGTTTAAAAAGTGTTTGAAGCCAGGTTGGATGGAGCTGTGAGCAGCTGGTCTAGTGAAAAGTGCCCCTGCTCATGGCAGTGGGGTGTAGTGAGATGATTTTTAAGGTTCCTTCCAGCCCAAACCATTCTATGATTCTGTAATTCTGTGAACACGGGTCAGAGGAGCAGAGAAGCACGAGAGAATAAATAAAACACATCCCTGTACTGTGATTTTCCTGCAGCAGAACTGCTGGTGTGTAAGGAGCCATCCATTATTTGTTGAGTCCAGCGACCAGTTCCCTTTTCAGAGCTCCTCTCCAGGAGCTGCTTTTGAATTATAAAGTGATTTTTTTTTCCTTCTGCTGCTTCTTTAACTTAAGTTGCTGCTGCTCCGTCAGGGTTGAGTAATGAAAATAATTGATCACTTTGCCCTTTGTAATGGCCCTTTACATCTTTATTGGCATGTCCTGTGTGTCCCCCTGCACTTGCCTTTTCTCAGGGTGCAGGACTCTTCATCTTTCTTCATGTAGATCTTTATCTCCAAACCCATTCTTTTTGCTCTTTCCATTGCTTTCCTCTGAGTGCAATCCATTTATTCTGCTTCTTTTGCAAAGACAAAGACTCTCCATGCTTCCAGCTGCTTAAAGGACAAAACCACAGATAGATTTTGTCATTTTGGCCAAATCCTTGCTGCCAGGGCAGGGTCTGGTGTGTGCTTTCATAAGGCTGTTTCTCATGGTAGATCCCATGTTTTAGAGCACATTAGGAGTGGTTGAGGGAGCTGGGATGGTTTATCCTGGAGAAAAGGAGGGTTGGGAGGACCTTATCACTCCTTGAAGGGGTTGGTCTCTTCTATCAAGCAACCGAATGAAAGGAAATGGCCTCAGGTTGCACCAGGAGAGGTTCAGGTTGGATATTGGGGAAAATTCTTCACTGAAAGGATGATCAAGCATTGGCACAGAGACTGTTCAGGAGATGCTGGAGTCCCCATCTCAGAAGGATTTAAAAGCTGTGTAAATGTGGCACTTGGAGACATGGTTTAGTGCTGGGTTTTGCAGTGCTGGGAAAAGATTTGGACTTGATCTTAGAGGTCTTTTCCAACCTCACATGGGATGCTGCTGTCCTTGTCCTGAGGGCTGTCATAAATGGGATAAATAAGAGAATCTGCCAGCTAATTCCTTTGTCCCAAGCAATAAAAGTAATGGATTTATTGATCATGGCTAATCCATGAAAAGCCATTAGGTGGTCACAGTGTCTTTGTATAACAATTGATCATTTCATATCACATCTCATGATACGCATCCTAATGTGATATTTCTTAGGTCCTATAAGTAATTCTGGGATCTTTTTAAGGATTCACTGTGCCTCCCAAAAAAAGGGACAGGTGGGAAGGTGGTTGAAGTATGAGTCCTGCTATGAATTCAGCTCACAGCAAGTAAAATTAAGGGCAGTCTCACAGAAAACCCACTTGTCTTCCTGTAAGTTTTCACCTGAAATTTCAGCCTGTACCAGATTTCTTTAATGGAGCTTTTAATTTGGAGTTTAATATTTCAAAAATCTAAGCAGAGCCTTGCAAGTGAAATTAGAGTGAGATCCATTTCCTGTGACCTGTTGCCACCTGCTGCCTGAGAATAAAGATGATGCATTTAAGTATCAAGCAGAATTTCCATCAATTTTGTAAGGGATGAATGCTGCTGAGAAGGCATCTGGAAGGTGAATCACAAAGAGAGCAAAACTCTGAGCTGATGTAAGTCAGCACAACTTGGGAAAATCCTGATTTGATCCAGCTGAATATGTGGTCATCAGCTCAGCTGGAAGGGCAGATGATGTTTTCATCATCTGGTTGGAAGGGCAGAGCAAATTGACCCAAACAATTCATTCTTAAAGCAGGTTTTGAAACCAGCGGGTTCACATCTGACCATGTGCTGAAAAGAAACATAATTTACATATAATTTACCTTCTCAGCAGCATCCCTTGCAACCCCAGATCCACATCTAAGTCTTGGATCCAGATCCAGTTCATTGTCATTATGAGCCTGCAGCTCTTTTCAGGAGTGAAAAACCCACCCAGATTCAGTTATTTGGTTCAGACCTGGCTCAGATCCATTGCCAGGCTTCCTGTTTCACCTTGGTGGCAGTAACATCCACAGAATGGGTGTACCAGGAGTGTTCTGGAACTCCAGATAATTCCAGGAAGCAAGGTTGTCTCTTACAGACCTTTCCCAGCAGCTTTTATTGAACTTCATAGTTTCCCCTTGCTGCTGGAATTATTTCTTCTCTTCAGCCATGTTGTGTTGGCTGATAATTGCATGGAAGACACATCTAGAAAGGTTCCTTTTCAACCAAATCTTATCTTTCCATTCAGCATTTCTGCCTCACTGATTTTTTTTCTTTCATGCACTTGCTGCTTAGCCAGATTTATGAAGGCACTACTACAAATGACAGCAAAGAGAGATTTCAGTGTAATGAGACAGACTTCAGAGAACTGGAATAAGTTATTTCTCTTTAGGAGTTGTTTGGTTGAGGGCTAGGGGTTTTTTTTTTGGATTTTTTTTAGTAGTACTTTGAAAGCATAGTTCGTCTTGGGTATTAAAGAGCAGCATTTGCCATCCAAGATAAAATTACAAGATACCAGATTATGTCATGGCCTTTACCTTACAAAGAGGTTTCATAATGCTTGTTCTAATTAAAAAGAAAAATAATTCCATTTCCCTGCTCCCTTGGGTCAATTAAATTCCTTAATAATACCATTAATGACCAGACCCAAGTGTGGACAGGCTGTAGGGATATTTGCAAATAGGGTCTCATTCTGCCTATAAAAATAAACTGTCACTTTAGTGTCTGGTCATTGCAGAACTGATGTTAACAATCCTTCAAAAACCCTTAATGAAGCCAGGGTATTCTATCCTGACGTCCAAACCTGTATCCAAGCTCCAGCTTTGTTCAGGTAAAACTCTCACTGAGGTCTGTGAGCTAACCAGCAAGTAAACATTAAACCCTTGGTCATAGATCAGGAAATGGTGAGCAAGTCCCATGTAAGTACTGCTGAACATGTTTCATGGTATCTGTCCTGTAATTTCTTGTCTTGCCTGTATTTGTCTGCATTTGAAGGTTTTCTTTTAGATTCTCTTGTTATTCAAGGCCTTCTCTGGTTTGTTAGGTAAAAGCCCACAGGGAAATTCTCCTCATATTCTTGGTGCCAAATAGATGGGATGAGTGACAACTTAAAATCTCCCTAGTCAGCTGTTAAAATTGTTTGGGATCTTTTTTTTTGGTTGGAGAGATGGATGCCTGAAGAGTCCTTGGGAAAAGAGCTGCTTTCCCATTTGCAGGGCCGTCATTCACAGCTAAAATGGAGTTTCCTGGGGTAGCATCACAGAAAACTTGTTTTGTCCAGTTTTCTGTCTTGTGAATGGAGATGTGGCTTGAATCTCAAGTTAATATCCACACAGGAATAAACTTACAGGAATTGTCAAACATGGAACAAAAAGTTGGGGTTTTTTCCCAAAGCATCAGCTGGGGAGATCTCACAAGAAAGCTGAAAATTTTCTGACCACAGGGAGATGAGGTCAGGTTTTAGTCCCCCTGTTTGTCGTGGGGACCATCACCTGTAGATTAAAAGGAGAAATACAAATATTTCAGTCTGCACATCAGCTCTCTGCCTGTCCGTTTGAGTCACTCGAAAGTGTGACACGTCCCAGTGTTGGTGTCTTCCATGTGCTGTGGAAGTCCAAGTGTCTGTGACCCGAGTACCGACAGCCATCGTGACAGACCAGTCTCTGCTGCAACTGTTCCCCTCCCCCTTGGCAACCTGCAGTGATTGTATTTTGTCTCCTTCCCTTGGGAAAAGCCGTGGTGGTGGATTAGGGGCAGAGTGGGAAGGGTGTTGAAAGGGGAGGGAGGGATCCGCATCCTTCCTCCCCACCTCCAGTTTTATGCATGACTGCACTGTTGGGAAGTTGTCCCCTCTGTTTGGGTGGCATGAGTGTGCAGAGCCTCCTCGTCCCTGAGCTTCCCTGGGAGAGGGGCTCAGGAAAGGTCTCCCTCACGGAGATGCTGGCTGGAAAAATCCTCTGCAGCCCGGTGGGATTGGGAGGCTGAATTAGAACCCCACCTGGAAGTGGGTGAGGTGGAGCTGAGCTCTCTTTCCCTCTCCCTTGACAGGGCATCCCTCTGGAGCTCCTGCGTGGTGCTGCCCTTGCTGGCTCTCACCTGGATGTCTGCAGTCCTGGCCATCACCGACCGGCGCTCGGCGCTTTTCCAGATCCTTTTCGCCGTCTTCGACTCCTTGGAGGGATTTGTCATCGTCATGGTCCACTGCATCCTCAGGCGGGAGGTGAGAGGGAGGAGTCATTATATGTTACATAATTAATGTTATTTCCCATAAAAAACACCTGGAAAAGCAGCCTAGCCAGCCAGGTAACTTCTCTAACCCTACAGATTTCGCTTTGGGGGAGGTCGCGACCACAAAAATGACCATGACATTTTCGGTCAGAGAGAAGGAGGGGTGAATCAGCGTGGAGTTTGTGAGATGGGATATCATGTCAGGCTTTGCTTGTTTACCAGCAAAATTCTCGTTTCCAGAATGTTCACACCCCACCTCCAAAAAATGCCACATTAAAGAAGTCATTTGTGTGATTTCAGGAGAGGCGAGATACACTGAGGTTTGCAGGATGAAATCTGTGCTGGCATTAACACCTTGATATTCCAGCTAGGAAGTGCAGCCAGCAATAATCAGGCAAGGAAATTGAGGAAATTCTCTTCAGCCTCCCTGTGGAGATTTAAAATGGTGAATTATATCAGGGAAGAAAAGGACGAATCTTTTATGTTTCTTTTATTCTTTTCAACCTACGGAGTGGAGAGACTATTAATAAAAGAGACAGGAAGGGACTTTTTTTTCAATATTAATTTTATCTTCTTACAGTTCCTTTAAATTCAGTAAAACAGATTAATTTCTTATGTCAGGCCAATGAAATCAATGGAATTACACCACTGGCTTGGCTGAGACTCCTTCCACTAATTGCATTATGAATATGAGTCTGCATTTAACTCCCACTGCAGTCACTGGGATTTTTTTTCCAATTATTGCACTGAGTTTGGGCTCAGATTTATATTACAGGATCCTGATCAGACTTTGTAGACACCAATACAATGATTAATGCGGGAGCATCCATTTAAAACATATTGCAAGCTGCAAAATAAAGGACATTTTTATTCCTGACTGTATAAATCAAGCAAATGGAAATGACCTAGGCAGTGACCCAGGGTTGCTAGAAAAGCTCAGAGTTGCACTTCAGTGTGTGAAATATGTAACACATAAACCATGTGAAAGAAATGCCTGGATGCTGCTAAAGCAGGGTCCGTGTCCTTTTGATCTAACGAGCTATTTTTATTTTGGATTTCAGCAGAATTTAACGTGGTTTGGTCAGTCTGGCTCTGACCTTTGCCAATCTGTTCCTGCAGGTCCAGGATGCTGTGAAGTGCCGGGTTGTGGATCGTCAGGAGGAAGGGAATGGAGACTCAGGGGGGTCATTTCAGAACGGACACGCTCAGCTAATGGTAGGGAAATCTCCCACTTCCCCTTCAGCAGGGGGTTTATGGGGATTTTTAACTCATGACTGATAAGCAGAGGACTCTGTCCATCCCAGATCCTGAATTCACCATTCTTATTTCCTTTAAACTTTGCTTGAGCAAACACAGCCCTTAAAATGGACTTTTTCACACAAATCTGGGGTGTTGCATTGTAATTTTAAGGTTCTCAAACTTCCACACCAGGTTTTGCAGACATCTTGGTGAGATCCTTTCTTTCCCAGAAAAATAAAGAACCAAAATACACCTCTCATGTTTTCCAGACCTTTTCATCCCCATCAAGCTGCCTTGTCCTGGCTGGAGCTAGGAAGCAGTAGTTTAATACTGTTTTAATCACAGTCTATTGGGTTACTGTCATTAAAAATGCTAAAATGCTGTTTCAGAGGGATTTTTTTTCTCTCAAAAGCACACTTTGCTTCATTGGGAATAGTTTAAGCTCTGTAAATTGTGGTCCTGTTGTGTAAGTCCTTTGCAAACAGTAAAGGAATAGGCTGTGGGGCTTTGCCTTGCCTCTGCTCCACTGTTACGAAGTAGTTGATAAAAGAAACATTTAATTTCTGAGGTTAAGATAAAGATATCAGAGAATCAGAGGATCTGAGCAACTTCCAAAAGCTCCTGGTTAATATTAGATCTACAGAACAGCCCAGTGATGTTTTTTTTACAGTCACTCCTGTGCTGAGCAGTTTCTGCCTGGGTACGAGGCTTCGTCTCAAACAGCACAATCTTGGAGTCAAGACATCAGCAGAGCTTTAATTCCACCACACCTCGGTGGTGTTTGCTAAAAACAGGTGCCTCATTTCTCATTTAAATGCAGAGTCTTCTCATTTTCAGACAGGTTCTCGCTCTGCTTAATTGTGGGTAATTAGAGGACCCCTTGCATGCCTGGTGCTTTGGCTTGTTCAATATTAGACACCATAATCACACCCAGTCTGAATCTTCTTTTCCATAAGTTAACACCTAGGGCTTTCTTATTCTCTCTCTTAAAATCACGTGCCTTCAAATTATTTATATAGCCCCCTCCAGATTCTCAGCAACCTGAAAAAAAGGTGGATCCTGTGATTGTCAGTCTGCTGTCGCCATCCCAAGTTTCAGGGTTTTGCATCTCTGTACAACTCCACATTTCCATTCATTATCAGCCACCTTGGGAAATTCTGTATCAGCTACCAGTTTTTTAGCAATGTTGCATTTCCTCCTGCGCTGCTGATGGGTGTGTGGAGGAGCAGGGAGCTTACAGTCACTTTCCTCACATTCCAGCACAAAAAGCTGTGGAATCTGCCTGTGAGTGATGACTGCTCACTGGTACTTTTAGAGGGGTACAATGTTATTTTGTTGTAAAATCACCGAAGGAATCAAAAGCTTTTGCAGGATGACATTTTTGCTGTTACCTTTTCCGTTTATCTCCAGATCTGCCCAGCTAGTGAAAAGGAGCTTAGCTGAGTAGAACTGTTTTTCCCACAAAATCTTTTTGACTGGTGTTAAATATAAACCTGTCTTTCATTCATTTATCAGCAGAACTAGTGCAGGCTGTTCAGCTGCGTTTTTTCTGGAACTCCTATCGTGAAAATGAGATTATATTTTTCTGTGTCATCCCATTTGCCCATTCAAATGTTAGTTCAGTCGTATTTCTGTTCTGTTCTTTTCAGATTTGTTTGATATCCCAAAGAATTTACTGGGAAATTAACATCAGGAAGTCTGAGATAGTTGAAAAACCCTTGGCTGTCAACCTGCTAATATTTAATTGTTTATCTCAGGGGGATGGGGATTTTTCCCACATTCTTCTCAGTATTCAAATGGATTTCATTTCATCACATTAATACAGTTATGTTAAGTGTCTTTCTGAAATGATACCAGAAATAATCAGTGAACTCTTCTACCTTTTGCCAGTCTGCAGCTTCTCCATTACTCCATGAAAGCTCACGGCCTGCTGTGACTCAGTTTATCCAGTTCTTTGAAATGTTATCTGCTCAAAGCTTCAGAAAAAGGATTAACTCCTCCTGGGAGAAGAAAGGAGTTCCCTTTGGCTGCACAGACCACTTGAAAAAGTTATTCAGCCTTTGTGCCTGTGGGAGCCATTGATTTTATATGTTAAGAGTTTCAGAAGCAGAGACTTGTTCCCACTTCATGTGACTTGGTGACAGATCACAAAAAAGCCCAGTGGGGGTGGAGCATTCCCAGCAGGATCCCCAGATCTCTTTAATAAAGGGTGGGGAATCCACTTAAATTTATGTGTGGAGTGATACATCCAAAACAGTTTGGGCCAGCAACCTGTTCCCTGTTTTTTTAGGAGTGTGCATAAATGTGTTTCGGCAAGATATTTTAATCTGCAGCCCAGGAATAAATGAATGGATGAGCAGATGGACCCCAGTTGAAAAGCAACATTCCAGCTTTATCAGTGATAAAATTCAAAAGCCAACAAGTGGAAAAACATGGTGTGTTTTCCATGTTTGAAAATCCAAGCCAAACCTCTCCCCTCCACTCTCCTGGCAAAGGCTGTACCCACCTCACTAATAAAGTGGGGATTTTGCATTTTCCAAGTTTTCCTGTCCTTCACCACCTCTTTTTGACCACACCCTCTCTGTTCTCTGTCTTTCAGACCGATTTCGAGAAGGACGTGGACATGGCTTGTAGATCAGGTGAGCACATCACAGGTGAGAATCAGCAAGTGACCTGGTTTGGGGATTGAACTAGGCCATTTTTTTCCTTCCCTTTCTGTTTCCTTTGTGTGTGTCTTGGTGCCTTGCATGTCCTCATGTGGGTTGCCCTTCCTTTCAACCCCGGCCAAAAGAAAACAACACCCTGAATTCTCCCTTTGCTTTTTCTATTTTCCTGTAGCTCTTTTGGCCTTTTAACTGAGATCAAGCCTTGCCTCTGAGGAATTGTTTTTTGCCATGTAACACGGTGGCAGAGAAGAGCATCAAGGAAGAAGAGATGGGATCCATCTCTTCCTACTGCGATCCTTCTTTGTTCCAGCAAGCCCTGCTGGACTCCTGCCAACCCCAGGCAGCTGTGTGCTCATGAAGGGTGTCTTTGTAGAAAGTCTGGAATCTGGAGAGCCTTCCCACCACTCCACCTGGCTCCAGGCTCTTCTGTGCACCTGGAAGTGGTTGGATCTCTCCTCCTCTGCCTGTTCCTTTCTGCTGTGTGTTCATCACACAGGTTCCTCCGGATCCTGAGGATGTGCATGAGTTGACAGCCCCTTTTCCCAATAATCCCAGGGGTGTCTGTGCTGCCTGGATTCTCCCTGGCTGCCTGTTCCTCTCTGCAGGTGTCATCCTGTCCTGGACCTGGCATGCCTGACCTTTTGGCTGAGGTTATTTTTCTTACCCTTTGTAGATACTGAGGCTTTCATTTGCCCTTCCAGACTTCTCCCCTCTGCCAAGCAAGAGAAATACCAGCTTGCTTGGGAATTGCATAATTCATATCTTCCAAACCAGGATCTTCCCAAGCCAGGGACAGCACACTCTGTGTTCACTTACCACTATGGCAAATCTTCTCTCTCTGTCTTTTTATTAATCTTTCTTTCTTGCCTTCCTTCTTTCTTTTTCTCCTGTCTTCTTTCCTTCTCTCTTTCTCTCCTTCTTTCCCTGCTCTGCCTTTTGTCTTTCTCCCCTCCTCTCTCTCTTTCTATAAACATCTACCTGTCCTTTTCATTTATCCTTTTCTTTATCTCATCTATCATTTATTTATCTGCTTCTAATGTATTTATCTATAATTCATCTCTTTCATTCTGTCTCACAATCACTTATTTATCTCTGTCCTCAACTGTCTGTCTTGCTGTACCTATTATTTATGTATTTCTATCTGTCAACATTTGTCCCTGTCACTGTGTTTCTGTATATTGTCTATCACTGTCACTATCATTTATCTGTCTAATATCTATCTATATCTTATTTATCTTTTCCTGTCCATCTCTCTGCCTCACTCCCTCTCCCTGTGCTTATCACAGTCACAGTATATTTATCTCACTTACCCCTGTGATATCTTATTTCACGGTCACTTTTGTCCATTTATCTCTTTTCAGGGTCTCTCAATTTTTTTTTCTTTCTGTTTTTCTGTCTCACACTCTCTAATTTAATTTCTAGCTGTCAGCCTCTTCTCATTTGTCTCTTTTGACACCAAATATCTCAATCCCAAGAAATCATGTGTGAAAAACGTGTGTGTGGGGCCATGTCTGAGTTGAGGAGATGCTGAGGGAACATTCACCAGACAGAGTCAGCTGTAAACCCCAGCAGACCCCAGATTCCTCCTCTAGAGGAGCCTTTCTGGATTTGCCACCACACCTCTTCATCCCAAATTGAGTTTCCCAGAGGAAGGAGCTGATTCATTTCACGTGATTTCATGGCAGAAGCCCCTGGATCAGCAGCTTGCCAACAGCCTAAGCTTCCCCTCCTTTGCCAGCATCCAACTCTATAATTTGTATTGGTCTGCCTGGAGATTCTCCTCCTCTCATGGAGTGCTATTAGATTGTGCCAAGATAAGTAGTTAATAATAAACCTCATTTCAGAGACCTTTTGGAGTGGTGCATCATCCCATGCACTCTGCTTATTAAATAATAAAAACCAGGAACCTGTCCAATGGTTTCTGGCCATCACTTCTCCTGGAGGCACCATCTCCCCTCTTGTGATGGATTGGAGATGTGGCTGAGACCACTCAGAGCTCCCTCACATTGATCCCCTGGTAGGACTTGCTCCAGGGCTTGTTGTTGAAGGCTCACTCTGCTCCTTGCTTGGAGATTTCCAAATGGAAACCTCTCCAAACCTATTTTCTGCAGCCGATGTGAGCATGGAGAAGAGCCTGGATCAATAAACCTTGCTGGGACTCCCAAGGGAAGGGTTTTACTTGCTCTGATTTATCCCAGCAATGCCAAGATGTTCGTGGCTGCCAGAGTTTTCAGCTTTAAAAGCTCTTTACAAGCTCTTTTTATTCTCCTTGGTGCCCTGCTCATCCTGCCTTACGTGCTCTGTAGTCTTGTGGGGGGGGAGCTTTGATCTTCCCTCACTCCCACTCGGAGCTGGTAGGAAAATCAGTGTGTCCTCAGTGCCATGGGATGCCCATCCCACCTCTGTCCCACATGGAGCAGCTGAATAATGTCAGCTCACCCCAAAAATCCTTCTCCCTGGTCCTAAAAAAGATCCATTTACCTTTTTTTTATTTCCTCCTTACGGTGGGTGAAAGGGGAGCATACTTTTCTTTCTCTTTTGCTGTACTGAAGTCCTGGGTAAGTAGCCCACAACACTTTGTCCCTGCCCCACAGTCAGATTTCCATGATTCTCTGATTTTCCACCCAATTGAGACATCAGGGTTGACACCATTATTTTCCCAGGATCTTTGTTGCAGCCTGAAATCAACTGAGCAATAGATTATTATGCCTGGAAAAGGGGCAAAATATTTTTTTTGCAGACAGTGTTGTGTGGGAATGAGTGTCTAAATGTCCTTTATGACGTGTTCACTTTCTCCTCAGTTTAAACTTTTCCTCTCTTTTTAAGGAATATTCCTGTCACCACTTGCTTTCCTGAAGGGAAATAGAAAATTGCTAAATAATGAGCTATCACAAAGGCTTACCATGATTACTGGAATGTAAGACTTTTTGGAGAGCAGTTTGAAATTCATAACAAAATATGATGTGTTTCAAAATACCAATTTATTAACACTGGAACTGTTAAGGGAACAGAGCAACCTGAAGTATTTTAGTGAGTTAGTACAAAAAATTAAATTTGAAGGGGGCTGGAACTCGATGATCTTTTAAGTTCTCTTCCAGCCCAGGCCATTTGATGATTTTATAGTTGTATGAATCATTGATAATGTTGTATTTCAGCTATTTCCTGAATCAAAATAATTTTTTAAATGAAAGCAACCTTTTATTTTAAAGAATTCTACTCCATAGGCTAATAATGTATAGATTTCATATACACATGCATATACTAGACGTACTAAATATCTAAAACTCTCTTTGGTTTTCAGGATATTGTTGGCCTAGATGGGAGTTTTGGCCATGGTTGTGTTGGAAAACTCACATCACAGAGAACTCTCCTAAAATAACAGTTTTTTCCTCCCTAGCTTCAATTTTGCCTTCGGTATCCTGGATTTTAAAAACACAAATAATGTTAAACACTGTTGTGCCTCTTTGGGAGAGGTGTTGGTGGGGAGTGATTGTGAGAGGCGTCTTGATATGTCAACAAAACCCCAGGTGAGGTGCTGAGGACACTTTTCTGTCTCCCCAGTGCTGAACAAAGACATCACCACGTGCAGAACCTCGACCATTACGGGGACCCTGAAGCGCCCGTCGCTGCCCGACGAGGAGAAACTGAAACTCAACCACCAGAAAGGCTCATCCAACTTCAACAGTCTTCCAGCCAACGTCTCCAAGATGCACCTTCAGGGCTCCCCACACTACCTGGGGGCCATCAACCTGAACGAGTTCAGCAACCACTCCCTCACCCTGAAGAAGGACAAAAACCAGCCGCCGAAATCCATCTACATCTGTGACGGGGACATCTTCAAGAAGTTGGATTCGGAGCTCTCGCGGGCGCAAGAGCAGACCCTGGACACCAGCTACGTGATCCTGCCCACCAACACGTCCACCTTGAGAGCCAAACCCAAAGATGAGAGCAAATACAGCATCAACATCGACCAGATGCCTCAGACACGGCTCATCCACCTCAGCATGGCCACCGACCCGGGCTTCGTGGTCAAGAGTCCCCCGCGGGAGCCGGTGTCCATGGCGTGCAGTGAGGTGCAGGGTTCCTCCATGATCCAGCAGCAGCAGCAGCTGGCTCCACAGAACATCTCCAACGAGTCACAGATTCCCAACAGCCTGTGTGACACGGGTGACTCAGGGAACTCGGGTGTGGTGTCGAAGAGCGAGACCGTCTCCACCCTCTCCATGAGCTCCTTGGAGGTGAGCGTGGAAATGGTGTTGTTCTCAGCCCAGGGTGGCGTTCTGCCCTCAATCCCGCCACTCCAGGGGGTTGGAAAGAAGAACTTTAGGGAAAATGTAGCCCAGGATGCAATGCCATATTACCCTGAGGGACAACTGGCATGTGGTCATGTTTTGGAATGTGATGTCACAACTTCCAGAGCACGTTCCATTGCTGGATCAACTATTTTTAGCCCTACAGGTGCTGCAAAGTCAAAAAAGAAGTTAATTTATCAAAGAGTGTTCATTTTAATGCCTGGCACATGGCCTGCCTTATCTTTTCCCCTTTTGATCCTCTGCCCTATTTCCCATTTTGATGGTTTCAGTCATGATACAGATGAGAACACCCAGTGATCCAGGCTAGAGGGAGCTTGGAGCAACCTGGGATAGTGGAAAGTGTCCGTGCCCATGGCAGGAGGTTGGAACTGGTTGATTTTAAGATCCCTTCCAACATAAAAGATTAAATAATGTAAAATATTTGGCAGTTTCCATCATGAAGAGCCAGAAAAACACGTTAAAGGTGTAGAAAAAGGGAAAAGACAGGGATTTTTCCTGTGTTATTCTCTTACTAACCTTTACCCATCTTTTTCTCTCCTGAATATCCAGAGGCGGAAATCCCGGTATGCAGAGTTAGATTTTGAGGTGAGTACATCCCTTTCTGAACGCTGGTCCCAAATTTTTTGAGCCATCCTCTCCAATTATCTCACCCTTGCCAGAGCACAGGAAATCCATGTTCAGCTTGCTCATACATGGAAAGGGAAATCCTTCTAGAAATTGCCCTGCCTCTCCTTCTGGGCAGCAGAAGGTAGAAGTGAAAAGCAGACTGGTGGAATTAAAAAGAAAATGAGATTGTGGAACATTTTCTAATGAAATTACCCCAATTTTACACATTTGGGTACACATTTACAGAGGTTACAAACTGAGGAAAGGCTGAGCACTGGGACAGGTATTAGTTAAAGAAGGGCAGCAAGCCCTCCTCAGAACACTGACAGTCAAGCTCAAATTCTGCAGCATAAAAATTTGATTGTTGCAAGTTTAAGGGGTTTTTTTAGGTCAAAAATTAGTATTTTCTACTTTCTCCCACCATCTCACCTTGAAAATAAAGGCAGTGCTGCAGTGGGTCCTCAGTAAATGCAGAAGGTATTTTAGGCACCTGCAGGGAGGCAGAGCTGGGGTTAAATGATGTAACTCTGGGGGAGGACGTGTTCTTGATAGGGTTTGCTGACCTGTGGCCCTTTGTGTTTGCTCCAGAAAATCATGCACACAAGGAAACGTCACCAAGACATGTTCCAGGACCTGAACAGAAAACTCCAGCACGCAGAGAAGGAGAAGGAGTCTCCAACAACGGACAGCAAGGTTAGTCAGACACTTCCAGAAACCCTCTGGTGCCAGTAGGAACATGGGAGCCAGCAGTAAATTGGTTTTCGACCATGCATGTTGCAAAAAACACACATGCACCACACAGCAGCCCAGGAGCAGGATGTCTGTCCCCATGTCTGTCTTTGGTGTTGTTTTTCCCTTTGTCTGTCCTTAGCATTCCTTTCCAGGTCCTCCCTTTGTGCCCCTGTTCATCCACTCCTAGGCGGGAACTGGAAATTGGGTTGACCATGAGGAAATCTGGGTGGAAAGTGGAGAGGGCAGAAAGAGGGGAAGCATCTCCCATCCCTTGTGGGGCTGAGGCAGAGGACAAGGTGGCAGTGATGGGATATTTAGGATGGCCACAACGGTGGGATTTAAGGTGTGATGTTGGGAGCACATTTTGGGGACTGGAGACTATTAAATGTAGGTTATTTGTGACAGCTGATCACCCGTGATACGAGCGTGTGGAAATGAGCAGGTCCAGACAAGGCCATGAAGGTTCTCCAAGGGCTGGAGCATCTCTCCTATGAGGAAAGGCTGAGAAAATTTGGATTGTTCAGGCTGGAGAAGGCTCCTAGATGAGCTCATTGTGGCCTTTCAGTCCCTACAGGAGCTGGAGAGGGACTTTGACAAGGTCATGTAGTGACAAGACTCTGACAGCCAACAAGGGGCAAGGGCTTTAACCTGAAAGAGAGTGGGGTTAGATGGAATATTGGGAAGAAATTCTTCCCAGTGAGGTTGGTGAGACCTGGCACAGGTTGCTCAGAGAAGCTGTGGCTGCCCCTGGATCCCTGGAAGTGTCCAAGGCCAGGGTTTGGAGCAACCTGGGATAGAGGAAGATGTCCCTGCTCATGGCAGGGGGTTGGAAGAAGATTATGTTTATAGTCTTTTCTGACTCAAACCATTCTGTGATCCTGGGATATCCAGCAGCAAAGTTCCAGGGAAAAGAGGGCTCCTTTAAAGGAGACAGACTTATGGAAGGGCCTTTCAGACTTTAATAGGGGCAGAGATCTGGGACTGGAAAAAATTATCAGGAGCCTTTGTAATAATTGGTGTTGTAAATAATAAAATAAGGAAGAGCAGGCAGATGGCACCTTCCAGCCAGCTGGGCAAGGACTGAAAGGCTGCAAGGAATTCTTACAGCTCCAGCTGAAGAGAAAAACAAGCAGCAGAGCCAGGTCGACAGTAAGAAATTAAATTTCCTGCACTCAGGAGAGAGGCGAGGTGAGCGAATTATAACAGTTCTTGGTGATTTGTAATTAAAGTCCCTCATGACAAGAAAGAAATGGAGGGGCTGGTGAGAGAAGGGCAAGAAAGATGGAGAAGGGTCTGGAGCACAAGTCTGATGAGCAGCACTTGAGGGAGCTGGGTGGGACTCAGCCTGGAGAAAAGGAGGTTCAGGGGGGACCTTCTGCTCTCTAGAAATCCCTGACAGAAGGTTGGGGCCGGGTGGGAGTTGGTCTTCCCTCCCAGGTAAAAAGTGATAGAACAAGATGAATCATCTCCAGTTGCACCAGGGGAAGTTCAGGTTGGATATTTGGAAAAATTTCTGCACTGAACGGGTGGCCAAGCATTGGAGGAGGCTGCCCCAGAGAAGTGGTGGAATCACCATCCCTGGAAATGTTCAGAAGCCACGTGGATGTGGCACCTGGGGACACGGTTTAGGGGTGGCCTTGGCAGTGCTGGGTTGACAGTTGGATCAGTGATCTTGGAGGTCTTTTCCAGCCTCAGGGATTCCATGATCCTAAGACAGATCGAGGATGTAGCACTCTCCTGCAGTGTGGCAGATGTGGCACTGGTGGGGCTTATTTTCATGGGAGTCCCTTGGAGACAAGAGCAGAGCTCAGAGGGTGATGGAACAAGAGGTTTGGGGATTTTTGGAGGGAAGCAGAGCACTACAGAGCCTTTGGTCTGTGTTCTGACCTCACAGCATTGCTGTGCTGAGCTCCAGAGATGTTACCCCAGCAAATTCAACTTCTATTGCATGTGGCAAGGTGTCATTATGGGCTGCTCATAACAAAGTGAGAGGCAGTGGGTCTACAGGTTCAGACCAAAGAATTCTGCCTGGCCCAGAATCCCAGTATGTCTCACTCTGTGTCACCTCTCGGGGTTTTTTTTTGCAGTTATTTTAGTATGATGCAGCTGTAAACCCAAAAAATGCTTAAATGCGATGTAAAAGCTAATCTGTGGTCTATTTGCAGGAGGGGTTTATAGATTGGGAAGGTTTTAGCATTTCAGAGATGCATCTATGTAGAATTAAATTTGCTGCTGTCAGCATCAAAGAGCTTTGAGCTGCTGAAGGAGGTTCTGAAGGTGGATTTGGCATATTGACTGAATCTTTTTCAAGATGGGAATTTTCTCTTGGATGTAACAGGAGTGGGGGAGCTTGTGAAGAGCAGGATTGGCAAGTCAGGTGTGGGTATTGGTTTAGAAAACATCCAAAGCAATACAAAGTCAAATAAACAGGTTTTTTTCCAGCCCTTTTTCTACCATTTTTTGCTGAGAACCCCATTGGAACTCAGGTCCCATCTTCAGCTCGCCTTGAAAAGGCAAATAGCAGATAACAGGGATTAAAGGAACAACAAAAGAATGTTTTCTCTTTTATGTGTGTTTAGGTTATAAAACGAAGGAGTGCTTCTTCTGGTTGCAGTGATAAAACAAACCTTAGTGTAAGTCTGGCTTTCATTTGCACTGCAGAGCATCTTGGACCTATCCCAACCCCTTCCATGACATTGTCTTGTTTTGAAAAACAGTTGTGTGCTAAGGAAGGCAGGAGACTCCCTTGAAATGAAAAATGTAAAGCCCCTCCCTCCAAATTATTATAATTTTGAAATTAAGGGGCTCTCAGGCAAAGATATGGGAGCAGGAACAATAGTTCTTTACTAGGAAAATTAAAAGTACAAATGCAATAGTACAAAAAGAGAAAAAAAAATGCTAACAGAGTCAGAACAGGAGCTGACCCCCTGTGGGTCAAGGTGGTGGCACAGTCCCATCCCATGGGGGCTCAGCCCTCCTGCAGTGCCAGCTGTGGTTCTGCTGGAGCAGGGATCCTGCACAAGGGGGGAGTTTTCCTCTGAAACTCCAGGGGTGCTGGAGATGGGCCTGCTCTTCCTCTGGGAATGCAGGGCAGAAGAAAGCTGCTCCTCTGGGAATCCAGTGGGAAAAGGCTGCTGTGGTGTTCCAAGTGTCAGATTCTATCCAGGCAGGAATGTTTGGCTCCTCCCCCTGGGTGGAGCATCTCCCAATGGGATGATGGAATTTTATCAGCCATGCAGTGACGCTCACTAGCCATGAACAGAAGAGATCTCCTGGAGGGGGGATTGGTGTGTGGAAGAGATAAAGAAAAACTGCCCAATTAACAGAAGATAACTGCCCCACCTCTAACAGATGGCAAATAGAATACACACCCCCAGCTACATCTTTCAACCTAAGACAGACATGAATCCAAACATTCCTTAACCAGCAGAAAGCTCTGTGCCTTGGCATGAGCAAGGTCATCAGGATCCTGGAGCACCCCTGAACCCTTCCTCATCCCAGAGCAGAAGGGATATTTCCTGGGTCTGCTCCGTCTGCCTGCATTTCTGTTCTCTCTGATTTCCTTTTTAAATAAACAACCACAAAGTCAAGCTCCCAAGTCTCTCTCCAAGCCTGGCATTTTCCCAGCCTCTCCTGGCAGCATGTCCCATTGTCCTCAGTCCTTTCCAGGATGCAATGCTTGTCCTGATCTTGCTGTTCCTCTCTTCTCCCTCAGCTCCAAGGTCAGAAAAGTGCTGATGAAACTGGAATTAAATGTCTGCACAGGACAGGCATCATGTGGATTCCTAGGAATGGTGCTGGCCATTTTTTAGGGGTTTTATTGTACATGCCATCCACACAGTACTCCAGTGTCACACTAAACACAAGTTGCTTTCACATTAACTCCTAAATTGTCAGATTTTAAGGAAATACCAAGAAAAGAATGGGATGAAGTGACAGATTTTCAGTCTCTTTAGGAAAAAGGGTGGAAAATTCAACCGCCACATTTTATTTATTGTTGAGAATTTCTCCAGCTTCGAGGGTAAAATATGATTTTTAGAACCCCTTTTTGGGGAGTTTTCAGCCACGATTTAAAGGTTTATACAAGGACATGTGTTCCTCCTTTTTAGATATCCTGACAGATGGAAACTTGGGATCAATATTAGTACTATATACACTTGATAAAGAAAAATGTCCTTTGCTCACTGTCCCAGAGAAGTAACTGGCAGAGCTGGAATCATAAACAGGGACTCTCAGCTGGAATCATAAACAGAATCCTTAAGGTTGAAAAATACCTCTAAAATCACCAAGTCCAACCACTAAACTGTGACCCAAAGTGCCACAACTAAAAATGCCTCCCAGAATGTGACTCCAGCACTTCCCTGGGCACCTGTTCCGATATTCAGTGTCCCAGCTCTTGACCACCCTTTCAGTGAAGAAATTTTTCCTAATATCCAGCCTAAACCTCCCCTGGCACAACTTGAGCAGATTTCCTCTTGTCCAATCCCTTGGGAAGAGAGACTTTGAGTTGTAGGGAGTTTTAGATGGAGACAGGTTTGGGGATGAATTCTGCTTTTCCATCAACCTGTGGTTGAGGAGTCCTAATCCACATCCCACTGGGATTGGGGTGTCCCCACTGCCCGCAGCTTCCTAATGAGAATATGTCAGAATTATGGGAAGCAGGGTAGTTCCTGGAATATCAGTCAGGTCTGAATCTTGCTCATATTCCAGGCATTCCCAGGGATGTGGCAGTGACCACAGTTATTGTTTCACTGCAGTTATTTTGCTGGAAGTCAAAGCACATTCCTAATGGTGGACTAAGTTGAGCCTCAGAGTACAATAATAAAGAATTGCCCTTCCTTGAGGAATAAGCATGGATTTTCCCATATTTTCTTTTCCAGTTTATTACATAAAATTTATTCCATGTGACACATAGTATCTTTTGTCTGTACCTCAACTCTAAAATGCTCCCACTGGAAGCA